GTAACAAAATCCCAAAACAAGGCCTTTGGAGCCTGAAAGGGCAAACTAGCAACAAAATCCCTGGAGGGGCCCTTAAATGATACTAATCATTATAATATATATATATATATATATTATATATTATATTGCAGTTATTTATATATATATATATATATATACATAAATACGCATCCATTCTCTGTGACTCTGAGTTTTGCAGGTAAGCGCTTGTCAGAAAGTTCTGTCTGATGAGCGCTTAGGCACGAAACTCAAGAGTCAGAGAATCGACGCAACGTCTTCTTTAATACTTTAACTTATGTATATAAGCATATCTATATACATTATAGAACTATTTACCCAAAAATCTAGAAATTAAAAAGTTTGATTATTAAAAAAAAAAACCCAATCATGAAGTATAGGAGTGGCATGCACAACCCTTATATGCTAAACTTTGCAACGTATTTAACATCAACATGTACAAATGGAAAGTCTTATTGATTGTAGCGATTCGCAGTAACAACAACGCTTCGGTGACAACATTTAGGTGAAGAGAATAGGGCTTACTTAAGTTTTTTCAAACAAAAATAATTCCTGTTCAATAGTTAAAGTAAATGTTGTGGCCCAAATTTAAAATGATCAAATCTGTATACGTGGCTGCATTTCAAAGGTCAAATGATAACTGAAGGTTGTTTCCCATATCGGTTCGATCAAACCAAACAAACTTGGAATTTTTGTATTTCCTTTTTTTAGGCCAAATATGTAATTTAATTAAGTAATGCATCAATAATTGCAGCTTCTTTATCTATGGCAGCATTAAGTGAATCTAAACATGAGGAAATATGCTTTGCAAACAATGCTCTATAGGACGCTAACCAAGATAATTTTTGGAGGTTAGGAGGTCATTTACGGTCTGTTTTTAGACCCATTCAAGCCATTTAGGCGAATAATAGCCGCATCTAATGCCTTTCGTGTGGATTTTCATAGTTTTTTAAAAGCTATTGCTCTCACCAATGTTTCTGTTATTGCAAAGAGATTGTTATTTTCGTGTGAATTTTCAATCTTGGCTGCCAGGACTTGTATTTCCCGGGCATAATCTATTCGTGCGAGATGAGCCCGTGACTCACGAGCTATAAAAAGCAACTCGATTGGCCAGTGCATTTATTAGCCGTTTTCTGATTGGTTCTAGCTTGTTCGGACAGGGCGGGGAGCGTGAAAAAAGTGTCGCGTGGAATTCCGTTGTGCACATTACAAGTTTGTAGTTTTCAAAATTCGCTGGTAGTTTCCATCGATACATTTTTGGGCGATGTAAAAGCATCTTCTGGATTTCATACAACTAATCTGCTTCGGATTTTGAGGAGGTATTCCTATTTGCTGCCAAGCCCGATCGGAGAGGACGTAGAATTATTTCGTATACTTGCTTATGTGGGCTATTTCCTTTCATAACTGGGACTTGAACCACAGTGGTAGAAATGAGTTAATTTAACAACTGGATCACAGGGGAAGATCAAAATCTTACGACAGGAACAGGCAGTGTAGATTCTCTCTTTAAGTATTTAATGTTTAGCGTGAGGAGGGAGAGTGTTTACATCGATCACAAAGTTCAATGACTTCTGCATGTTCAGATAAACCTGACACATTTTACTACATCTTCTCCGTTCACGAGAAATCGAAGCACTGATCACTTGTTCTTTTTAAATTTCAGGCCTTTATCCAATCGATGGGAACGATGGGAGAGGTATCAGCAGACTATCGTGACTCCGAGGAAGATCAATGGATGGAACAACAAAGCTCCGCACGGCTGTTCGAACGATCGCGAATCAAAGTTCTAGCAGGTTCGTTCACATGAATTGAGTTCTTTTGTTGTCTGCCAGGCATGCCAAATTATTGAAGCACTTCAAAATTGAACGCACATTTACTCTTGATAAGCATATGTACCTGCATGTGAACTGAATCTTATATTCAACCACAACCAACCTTGCACTGTAAATAATTTATAATCCTCGCGTTACGAATGACAATGATCATTTTGCAAATGTGTTTTTTTGCTCGATTGTCAACATATAATTATGCACCTAAACCTTTCACTTGAATATCAGTAATGCCATGAACTTATATTTCGATGAGTAAAAGTAAGATGTGATTACACAAAGGTGTGTTTGTGAATTTTATTTAGTCTTGGTGTCTTGCCTCGATCAATCGAATGCTCACCGCCGTTTGCATTGAAGACGAAGAGTCAATTGCGGCAACACCATTAATTCCCATTTCTCGCGGATCAATTTGTTCCTAATCGCATATCAGACGTTTTACTTTTACCCAGTCGGAACCTAAACCGATCGAAATAGATACCTGATCGAAAAAGGAGTAGTAAAATTAGGTCGTGAATATTTTGACTAGGATTTGAATAGACTTGAGAGGCGTGGTGTAGGCGAGGTGATTGCGTGATTTTAGATCAAGCAAATTGGTATTTCAATAACGTTTGAAAAATAGGGATAATATGACAATAGTGCGATTGTCTTCCAGTAGTTTGTACACAAGCCCTTCGTTTCTATGCTACTTGACAAGCATTGTTTGGTACGGGAAATACTTGTGATCGCCATCGTCGTGAAAGGAACATAAACATAGAAGAGTAGTATCGTCTTGATATTTCCGTGAATTATTAATTCTGATACAATATTTGAAAACGCCAAATAAGATCGCCACGGCCTTCCTGTGACTGTTCGTTTAGTCCATTTAATTTGTTTCGTTGTCATTGTTGTTTTTCACTAATGTGAGCTTGCATTTGAATTTGGAGAATGCATCGTCTTTGTGTGACCAATTTCATATCAAAGATGTTTGTGAGATAATTACCTAACTTGTTGATTTCCAAAGCTGTTTTATCAAAATGAAACCTACATGATTAGGGTCAAGGAAGAATGAGAATACAAAATATCAACATCAGATCAGTGTTTGAACCTTTGCCAAAAAAAATGTCTTATTATCAGAATTCAGCTGGCAGCAAATCCGATTATTTCAAAGAGAGGTTAAGGATGACTTGAATTTTAATTGTTAGTGACACTGTGTGGTCTGTGTGCTCAAAGTTTATGCTTTTACATATCGTAAACAATGCTCTAAATTTTTAATTAGTTTTAATGACTTTTGAGGTCTGTATAACTCATATTCGTTTTTAATTGATGCTTACTGGTGTTTGCCATGAAGAAATCATAGATTCTCTCTTTATTTTATTGTATTTTATTTTATTTTTTTCAACATTTTGAGAACAACTTGAGCTTGTTTATGCAAATAATCCTGAGACACTTGTGTTAGATGGGATCTTTGGGATAGAACTAACACAGTTGAATTTTCAAATTAATTTTGTTAATAAATTACTCACTCTTAGAAGTCATTAATTAATAACTTCTAACCTTTCCTAACAATCTTATTGAATCATGAAGAGGAAAGAAGATGGAAAAGACAACTTTTCAGTTCAAGGGTCTCTCTTGGACAAATGTAACATCAAAGTCATTTGACTAATTTGGAAAGAAATTTAGGGGGGATTACGATTTCTAAGTAAAACCTCTAAATAAAGATAAGTTGAAAAGCATCCATACTGGTTGTCGATCATGATAACAGCATTGTTTAATTTTTGAATTGACACTTTTTATTTGCAGACGAAAGAGAAAAGGTTCAGAAGAAGACATTCACAAAATGGGTAAACTCACATCTTCAGCGAGTTGGTGCCAGGGTCAATGATCTTTATCATGACCTAAAGGAAGGAAGGAAATTAATTCTACTTCTCGAGATCCTTTCTGGAGAAAAGTTGGTAAGGACTGGTATGGAGAGAAGGAAACAAGGAAATGAAGTCTGATAGATACTATGTAAAATGACTAAATCAAAATTTTTAGAAGTGAGAATGGCTACTTACTAGCCATGTTGCAGAGACCTGAATTTTTTATTTTTTTAATAACTCACTTTCAGAATATTTTTTTCTTCCTGCCTCCTCACCCAAAGTTTTGGAAAATGGTTGTTTCAATTATAGATCCCTCAGTGTGAAGTATCAGAAGTTACCGGTCTAGACTAATGACATGTAAATTTTTCTTACCCTCAGCCTAAACCATCCAAGGGAAGAATGCGTATCCATATGCTTGAAAATGTTGACAAGGCTTTAACATTCTTGAAACAACAGCGGGTAAGATGGTGTTTTCGATTAGTCCATGACCTGGATGATTGAAGTTTGACAGAATTAAGTATTTACTGGAGTAAACCCTTCTAATGATGGTGACAATTTCTCCTTTTAGGTCCATTTGGAAAATATTGGTGCACATGACATTGTCGATGGAAACAACAAGATTACCTTGGGTCTGATATGGACAATTATTCTCAGATTTCAGGTGTGAAGATGCTCTTTGCAGTATTTCTCTATATACTCCCTGATCTTTTGCAAATAAGCCAATTTACATTTAATGAACTTGGTTGCCAAACCTTGTGAAGAGGAGTAAGGTCAGAGTTGCCATGCAAACCTGGCTGTTTTTCCGTTAATCATCACTTTACTGACAACCTGATAATTTTCCTGTTTCTATAAATCATTTCAAGGTCACATCTTTGTTTCTTCGTTTAAAAAGGCTTGGTTGTATTTTGATTTATAACATATCGGAAATGGTATATTTAATCTATTGAACAAAATTTAATACATGTACTTCTAATTCTTAAGGGGAACTCTGTCCCAGTTGCAGATGAATTTTGATTTGCAACAATATGGTTATCAACAAGGTTTATGTCCATAATGTTTTCTTAATAAAAGATATATCAAGGTGGCAAACAGCCAAAAACGTTTGGTTTAACCATTTTAATAATATTTCTTAATCTTTTAGCCTTGTATATATAATAACAAGGTTTATAATGACAGTGATGATGGATTTTATCTTTAGATTCAAGATATTACCATTGAAGGTGAAACAAAGGAAAAGAGATCAGCTAAAGATGCTCTGTTGTTATGGTGCCAGTCCAAGACAGTTGGGTTAGTTTGTTGCAGTATTCACACTTCATTAGCTTCAATTCCCTTCTAAAAGTAAAAGGGTTTTGTTTTTAGTTCTAATAAAAGATACATTTTCATGTACAGGTATCGCAATGTCACTGTGTCCAACTTCACCACAAGCTGGCGAGATGGATTGGCTTTTAATGCTCTTATCCACAGACACAGGTAAGGAGAAAAAGCAATTTTTTTTCTTCTGAAAAGCAGATATATGTTGAAGGTGAAGTGTACATTCTTGATGTTTTCACAAGAACCAAAGCAGAAACTTGCAGTAACATAGAGCTTAAAATTTAACTTCAAGGTCTTTAATTTGTAGCTTAATTTTTTGTCTTCTTAAATGAGACTTCTTGTTGGTACCTTTGTTTGAAATCTGAGTTGGCCTTGATAAGATATGTGGCAGTGTATACTGCAACTCTCATTAAAAAGGTATTTCTTGGCCAGGAATGTCCATGGATGCTATTTGGGGCAAAAAAGCATGAAAGAGTTGAAGTGTAGATGAAGCTTTCATCCCAACTTTTCAAGATACAATAACTCATAGAATTTCCATACTTTTGTTATTAGGCCTGACCTCATTGAATATGAAAAACTCACTAAGAGTGAACCAGAGAAAAATTTGAACCTGGCTTTTGAAGTGGCAGAGACACAGCTTGAAATACCACAGCTGTTAGAAGCAGAGGGTTTGTTGAAATTTTGATTTTTTTTTTTTTATCTTTATGATGCCCAAGTTTGATAACACTATGATTTTTTGGAAATGTGCTTTTTTCTCTCTTCAAAACAAGAGACAATTATAATCGTGGCTAATTATTTGTTTGTACTTGCATCTGGACATGAAATGGGCAATTGAACAACAAGGCCAAAAAAAGAAGCAAATGAGCAAATAAATAAAAAAAAAAATAAAGATTGGACAACATAGATATATATATATATAATTTTAGTGTAATTTCAGAGCTGAGCAAAGAGTTTCCAGCAATCTGATTGGTCGAGCGGTTCCTTATATGACACTATATAAACCACTCCACGCGGTTTATATAAAATGTTTAAATGAAATGTTAATAAATGTTACTAAAATGTTATGATTTTAGAAATTTCTCTGTTGTTCAGCTCTGAAATTCTACTAAAACAATTATTCGCCTCAGGTTCGGTGAATATTGTTGAATAATCCCCTCGACTTCTTCTCGGGGATTATTCGACGATATTCAACTCGCCTTCGGCAAATAATTGTTAAATATATCAAAGAAAAGAGGCACAAGCACATACACACAAATAATTTTTAGGAAGCATGAAAGTGAAGAAGCAAACAGAGTGGCCAAGTTGCACAAGTATTATCTATTTTTTAAAATTCTTTAGCACAATGTGACAGCATGACACTTATCTTGCATACATTGCTCTTTTCAGATGTCAATGTTGATTTCCCTGATGAGAAGTCAGTCATTACTTATGTAGCTGCTTACTATCATTATTTTGCTAAGATGAAGACAGTGGAAGTTAGTGGTAGCCGAATCGGCAAGGTAAATCATATAATCCCTTTGAAATGTACCTCCAGTTTGCAAAGAAAACTATAAATATCTGTGATAATTACTGAATACTTGATGTGTTCAGCATTCATGAGATGGAAACTTGAGTTTAAGCTTACCAGGCCGTGATCTTGCTTGGTTTTGTGGGATTAATTGCCCAACTTGTGAAGATGATTGTGACAATTTTAAAAAGTAATGATCATCATCTTCATCATTATCATCATCATCATCATCATAAACTTTATTTCATCTCAAATTTAGAGTAGCTTGTTGGAGCTAATATCTTCGAGAAAACATAAAGTGGAGATTATCTATATATATTCATACATAATATATCTGTACAAGATATAAAATACTAACTATACTAAAATATACTAATTAAAAATACACAGTATTTAGAAATATAATTATGTAACATATCAGGAAAAATTAATGAACAGATGCTTTTAATGTGTGTGGCTTACAGCATCTCTTCATTAACAATTTATTGCTACTTGATTAGTAGGGTTTACATATGTGATAATTTGGATATATCAACAAAGTTGAAGTGATAAATTGGCCACTGTAACAATTACAAAAGCTGACGTTTCAAGCGTTAGCCCTTCGTCGGAGTGAATTCGCTCCGATGAAGGGCTAATGCTCGAAACGTCAGCGTTTGTAATTGTTATGGTGTCCAATTTACCACTTCAACCTTGTTGATATATCCAAATTATTTCGTTACTCCCACGGATGCAGCTCCAAACAGTTTCTTTTGAAACTATCAGCCTTTATTCATGTGTGACTTACCCTTCTGGTATTGAAGGGGATGATGTATGTAATGTAAATAACCACTCTTTTTAAATCGCACCTCAGGTAATTGAGCGCATTAAGGAAAACCACGAATTGATCATTGAATATGAGAAGCTGGCAACAGATCTTCTTGAGTGGATCCAGATTACAATTGTGAAGCTCTCTGGCAGGAACTTTGCCAACACTCTTGTTGGGGTGCAGCAACAGATGTTAGAGTTTAATCAGTACAGAACTCAGGAGAAACCTCCCAGGTGAGAGAGAGCATTGTATAATTGATTTAAGCGTTTCATTTAGCAGTATTCTTTGTTCAACTGGCTGAGGATACTGCATCTAAGAGATCCTTTTACCCCCCTTCTCATTAAAAGCCCCCCCCCCCTGTTTTGGGCTTCAGACGTGCTGCCCCCTTCTCCCCCTTCTTGTTGACTCCCAAAGAAAACTCTTACTCTTTGTTTTTGAAAACGCGTCAATTATTGACAAAGGCACTTTTAGAACCAGAAAAACATTAGAAGCATGGCATACCAGAGTGACATCTAACGCAGATAACAATTCTTTTCCGTTACCTGGACAATACAACATTCTTTTTAACAAATATTCATAATCATTTACATTCTCATTATTTAGCAGATCGTGTCTTTTTTTAAATTTCAAAACTCTTACAGTACAAAATGCTGGGCATTTGGGCTTAGTAACTTTGAAGTCCAGATTACACCAATACTTGTATCTGATCAGATCTTGGGAGTTAAAATGTAATCATAGTAAGCTGGACATCACAATTTGGCTCTTAGTCAGTTTATATATTTAGTTCGTTGTTGTCTTAAGATTTCTTAAGATGAGTGACCCCGAGTTGAGAACTTGTTTTGCAATGTAAATCAAATTCTTATTATCCTATATTTTCACTCCTAAATTGTTTTGAATGATTCTGTTGAAACCATCAGGTTTGTTGAAAAAGGAAATCTTGAAGTGCAGTTGTTTATTCTTACGAGCAAACTGCGCGCTAATCATCAAAAGATGTACACTCCTCCCGAGAACAAAGCACTCAGTGATATCAACAAGGTACATATTTTTTGCTTCCTTATGTATGATAAGACCAAACAATGGCTGCAAAGGAATAAGTTTTGTCCATGCCTTTGAAAGAAACTCGCAACACTTTTGAATTGTTTCTTGAGCCAAAAATTTCCTTCAAACACAACAGAAGCTCAGAAATGGACACAAAAGGGTAAAGTTATTTTAAACGAAACAAATGAGAGGGGTTAGTTGAAATGGAGCAAATTTTCACAAAATTTGAACATTAAGCATAAAGATTTATGCTAATTTTTTTTTAAGATACAAAAACCGTGAGGTAGCTCCAGCAAGGTGACTAAAACATAAACAAGCGAGAAAAGCAATAATGAAAATCATCTGATTCATTTCAATTGCCTTTCTTCAGGCGTGGGAAGCGCTTGAAAGAGCTGAACACGAACGGGAACTTGCCCTGAGAGAAGAACTTATGAGGTATGCATTGTCAGAGCTAAAACCAAACGCAAGATCTTTGAAATGGCCTTGCACAAGATTGATGTATTTCTCTATTTATTACACATTTTCATATACATTTACATTTATGTGTAGATATGATATTTGATACGTTTTTGCTAACCTTTTTTCACAGGCAAGAAAGACTAGAGATGCTTGCTGCCAAGTTTGACAGAAAGGCGAGTATCATTACTTCTTCCTTGAAATCAGCGCTTAAAATAATTTCCGGAGGGTCTCTGGACACAATGACCGAGTAAAGTCATTTTTAATTAGCTCAGTTACGTATCTTTCTGGCCGGTCAAATTTATAAGATATTAAATAACTCTTAAAACTAGGGCCCATGAACCAAAACTGGCGTCATATATTTCCGAAGAAGTCGTTTCTTGAAGGTTATAGCAGTTTAAGGCATTGATTGTCGACAATAAAAATATACTACAGCGGCGAAATGAAAATAAGCTTATGTGTGTATTATTAGGTACACTTTCTGTAAGACTAATCCGTCATTATCGAGCACATTAGATTTATCCAACGCCTCCAAATATAATGATTTCTGGTGTAAAATGTACAGTACACAGCGACTCGCTTCATGTTGATAATAACTGAAATAATTGAACAGCATGGAAAATATAATTTATTTCATTTTCAATACGATCGAGTGAAACCGATCAACATGACCGGCGAGACGAAAGGTTGACCGTTGAAATCCCCAATCAGTCCAGACATTGTCCATTGACCAACCGTTATTTCGAGCTTTAAAGTATCAAATCCCCATATATGAAAAATTTAGAGGTGGGCATCTCCTGCAAAGCTTAACGTGTTGGCAAGGTTACTTATCATTTTGTCTCATCGTGTAACGATTTCTAGGCCGCCATGAGAGAGACTTGGTTGAATGAGAACCAGCGGCTAGTGTCGCTAGACAACTTTGGAAATGACATAGCGGCTGTAGAAGCTGCTACAAAGAAACATGAGGCCATTGAAACTGATATCATGGTGAGTTCGTTTGTCTGGCTAAAAGTGCATTCTTTATTTGGCCCACTTCTCCATCATGCTCAAATCCTTTGTGTTGAGTTTGGGTCAAAAGCTGTATATTTGGAAAAACATGATGAGAAGAATGGACAACTTTCTCGACCACAGAGCGCTCTTGTGATACTCTGTCAAATTCGCCATACTCTTTTACAACGACTTGTATAGAAGCTGGAATTGAGACCTATGGATAAGATCTTGATGGATATGACATTTAGGAAAGCACCTAAAATAATTTTATCAATTCACACTTCATGCTTGATTCTGGTTAAGTTCAGTAGGACATGACAGTCTTTTGTTTTCCTCTAGGCATATGAAGAACGTATTAAAGCCATTGTTCAAGTGGCAGATGAACTGCATAGGGAAAACTACCACGAATCTGAGAGAATCCAAGAAAGGTTTGTCTTCCAACAATTTCATTTCTTTTCTATCTTTTCACTTCTTAGATTGTATGGAATGCAAGCTTCTTACCTCTTTCTTTTTGTAGTCTATTTTTCATTCTAAGATTAAATGCTGATCCTTTTCAGGAAAGATCTGATTTTAAAGCTTTGGGAGCAATTACTGGAATTGCTGAGGCGTCGACGATCTCGGTTGGAGAAGTCTATGAAACTGCAACGCTGCTTCCAAGAGATGATTAACACAATTGATTGGATGGATGAAATCAAGGTATCTCCAGTTTTTTTTGAGAGCGTTCTTCGATTGAGTGTTGTAAACCAAAATTATCACAATGACCAATCAGAAGAAAGATACATACCCTTTAAACCAATGAGAACTCAAGTTAAACCAACAAAACCACCTAAAGCGCGCGAAAACGAGGGTGACCAAGTCGTGAGTCGTTTTACTTTTGAATCTGATTGGTGTAACGAGTGGCGTGAGTTTTTTTCGGACCAATTACAGAGCGAAGTAAAGCAAAACCGTTGCAATCTCGGATTTCTTTCAGCACTCAACCGAAAATGGTACTATTCTTTTGTGCGGTTTACACATGTAATGACTATTAAGGTAGTCATGAATCCTACAATTGCTTTCCAGGCCTTTCACGGTCTGTTTTAGAAATTGGTGGAATATTGTAAGTTCAAGAAAGTCTAGACCCTCAATTTTGTTACATAACGAATTTACGTGAAACACTTGAAACACGTGAAACGCATTATGTTGAATTGTCATTATCCATAAACAAGGGTTACTTATTTGTTGTGCTGTATAATTGCAGATGGGTCTTTTGTCTGAAGACTATGGCAAACACTTGCTTGGTGTGGAAGATCTTTTACAAAAACACAGTCTGGTAGAAGCAGATATCGCAGCACAAGCCGACCGGGTGAAGTCTGTGAACGAACAAGCTGAAGTGTTCCTACACTTAGACAATGAAGAGGATGGTATGTAATATACTGACAATTGTTGGTATTGATTACAAACATCTTTTTTTGGATGGGTTAGGAAAAAATCAAAATGTTTGAAATCGGCTGGGACTATTTGCAAAGTTTGATTGGTTTGATCTGATTCTGCGGCAAACTTGCATCGTTTTTTCTCTTTCACTGATTTTATTTGACTCGCTCAACGAAAATCACCAAAAAGGAGGGACAGCTTGTTTTGTGGTGCACAAATTCAATGCTAAATGAGGAAACTTAAGAGAACTTGAAGCCATAGTAAAGGTTCTGTGCATTTTCTCATTACAGGTTTCAAACCAGACGAAAACCAGATCAGAGATCATCAAGCTGAACTGGAAGGTGCATACAATGAGCTCTTACAGCTTGCAGCAGCAAGACGCGCCAGACTAGATGAGTCTCACAAGCTGCAGACCTTTTACCGGGATGCCGAAGAGGAAGAGATGTGGGTATCAGAAAAGGCTCATTCCTTGCAGTCTACGGACTATGGACATGATCTGAACAGTGCTATGGTCCTGTTGAACAAACACGAGGTATGAGAATGTAAAAACCCTTTACGTCCTGTATGGAAAGTGTCTTGGATGATATGCGAGTTTCTTGGTTACAGACGGGTTGGAAATGCCGCTGTGGACTGACAGGGTTGATTGACCAGTTACTTGGTATTTATGGGTATTTATAAAGTTTTCAGAATATACGTTATAAGAAATGTGTATAGACTGCAAGGAGAAGGATTTATTTTAAAATCTTGGGAATGAAAGAGATAAAGGTAAAATTTGGAGCCGTGGAAAAATCAATCTGAGCCTGGAAAAGTCCTTGAAATTTGTTTCTGAAAAATGGTACGAACCTTGATATGCTATTTAAAAAGTGCTTATTTAAAGAGCCTTCATTTAAACTTACGTTCAGATATTTCGTTGGTTTTTCAGGCGGTTGAGCGTGAACTCGCCAAGCGTGACACTCACACACAGGCGGTGATGAAGAGTGGCCAAGATCTGCTGGAGTCTGGACACTACTCCTCAGACACGATCCAGTCGCGAATGATCAGCATTCAGAACAAGTGGACAAACTTACAGGACGTGGCTGGCTATCGTAAGAAGAAGATCGAAGAAAATCAGAAGTTGCAGCAGTTTATCGCTGAGTATAATGACATCATGTCGTGGCTGGATATGATGGAGAGGATTGTCGCCAACGATGACCTCGGATATGATGAAGCAAGCAGCGACACATTGTTGAAGAAACATAAGGTGAGGTTTTCATCTTAATGTTAATTATTGTTTTAGGAGCACATCTTTGCCCTGGATTTTTTCCGGGTCTTTTCTGTAATTTCATTCTCGACAATTCAAATCCCTTTGTCAATGTGATACACTTCAGATTTGTCGTTACGCTGTGTTTTGAGCCAAATTCCGTGTCGTTTTAACTCTAATTTGCAGTGGACATGATTTACACGTTGTGTGTTCAATAAATTTTGGCGATTTCAGTTTTTTCATATTCTCCGGTGTCTTGAACTTCCCATGGTTTCATTTGATTGTTAGAGTTCACTACCAGGTGTTAACTTTGATTTAAAAAGCAAAACAAAGCATATAAGGGAGAACTTTGACAGCAAGGATTGAATTTGAAGCTGACGTTAGAAGGTATTCTTGGAAGTGCCTAAGTTAAGCTGGGAAGTTAAAGTAAGTACACTTGAAAGACGCATGCTCTAGCAATTTAACCTCATAACGTTCCCTACCTGTTATTCAGATCATCGAGGAAGACATCGAGAATTATGCTTCAGTGATCAAAGGCCTTCATGATGAAGTTGATGAACTTGGTGACGAGGACAAGACTTCCCCTGAAGTTGTCGACAGATGCAGGAAGTAAATACAGAATTTCTTGTAAACCTCACAATTCTTCTCTATAATTTGGCAAGATTGTTAAATTTCTGATATATCTACAGCTGAGGACTTACAAACATTTTTACCATGGAACGACTTCTTCTCTTACATGTTGAGGAATATAACTTGTAGCGAAACCATTTGAACTAGTTTTACTTGCGAAAAGAAACAACGAGAAGAAGCGTGAAGAAAGGTGGATCAGTATCAAGACTTAACTACGAAGTACTTAAGCATTTGTACTTAAAATGATATAGTTTGGATATTTTTGTAGGAAAGTCTTAATTATTTTACCAGATTAATTTAACACATTTTTTTTTCTTTTTTTTTTTACTTCCTTGCAGTGTGGACACTCGATACGAAAACTTACGGCTGCAAGCTGCTAACCGCAGACACAAACTCTTGGATGCTCTTTCTCTTCATCAGCTCAACAGGGATGCTTACATCGTGGATAGCTGGATTAACGAGAAGGTTGGGTTTTGAAGCCGATACGTTTTAACTTGATTGGGAATCATTCAAGTCATTGTTGAAGTTATGCCTGACTTGTTTTTTTTTTTGCAGTGTACGTCGTAGGCTTCGGCTTTTTTTTTTTTTAAACAAACAAACAAACAAAACAAAACAAAAAATATGTATGCAGTGGAACCTCGATTTAACGAACCTCTATACAACGAAGTCCTTGGTATAACGAACATACTTCAGTTTCAGCCCGGCTAAAGTTACAGTAAAATGTATGCCTCAGAACTTCGATACAACGAACCCACGATATAACGAACCAATTTTCCCAGTCCTTTGGCACTTCGTTAAATCGAGGTCCCACTGTATATTTATGTAAGAAGGGAATAAAGTACATTTTGAAAATTAATCACATTTATACCCAGTATTTTAATTGTGCTGTAGTGGGCTGCTAGAAATTTCCCATGACATGCTAGTTCTGGATTGTCATTTCCCTTTGTACAACCCAAGGAAGACCCCGTCGCCAAAACTTGATATTGGTGTGAAGGAGAATGTAGATGGTTCAAAATTCCTGAAAAATATGATTGATTCAAATTGTCTGGAATTGCTATACTAGCCTTAATTGAATATTTCCCAAATTTTCCCTTCGCCATTTGCATTTTAAGCGCTTTTTAACAAACCAATTATATTTTTGCTCAAACTTTTGTAGGAGGACAGGCTTGAAGCAGCTCTAACTGTTGAGAAGAGTATGGATCTGGAAGAATGCCAGATCATTGAACAACGCTTTGAGGGATTCCAGCAGGTTTGTATGAGATGTTGAGTTGGTTTAAAGCCTCTTTCGAGTTTTCTTGAATAATTGGGTACGAAACGAATATGCTTTTATTCCTTGCAGGAGTTGAATGCAAACGAGAAGCGTGTTGGAGTTGTGAACGATCTTGGAGGCCAACTGATTGAGAAAGGACACATTAACTCTGATGAAATCAAAGACACTATTGACGGCCTCAACACAAAGTAAGTCCTCTGTGATCTAAATTATAACATGTCTGTGTATTGAAGGTAAATAACAAACCTTTTGTTGAATTTATCGCGGTGAGGTGTGTTTTGAAACAGACCATTTGCTTCTTCAAATTCGCGTTAAGTGAGAGACTTGCCACCATTCCCCCTCGTCTTTTGACGTCGTACAGGAACAAAATGAGACAGATAGAAAGCCATGATTTTTTGGGGGAAGTGGGACCAGATTCGTATAGAGGGGGGTGAGGGGGTGAAACTTGTAAAAGTTGTCGGGACAATTTGTTTATGCTTTTGTACTTGTAAAGTTTTAGAAGACTAGGAACATAACAAATTGTTGTGATGGATGGTGACAGACTGCGTTGTTGATCAGGTGTTCTACCTTTCCATTGACAGGTGGGCAAATCTTCGAAATGCTGCCGACATCAAGAAGGCCAAACTAGACAAAGCCCTCAAACTCCAGCAATACCATGCTGATGTCCACGAAACCAAGGTAATGTAACTGAGTTTTTAAGTCATTCTCTAAAACAGGGGACTTAAAAAAACCGAATAGAGAGACTTGGAAAAGATTCAAACTCGAGCCACGACCTATTTTCCGTGTGAATTCTCTCCTGCTTAGCTACAGTACACCTGCTGGCGAACCAGACAATTACTAGGTTCACAGGTCACAGGTCACAGGCTTCCTGTAAACTGCTTGAACCAGCAATATCAGCAGTGTCGTACTTGTGAATCATTGTGAGTTGAGCACATTCCCGTAAAATATTGTGATCTTTATTGTGTCCTTGAAATTAATATATATATCTTATTAATCAAGTGCGAGGGCCGTACTGGGAGAATATCGGCCTGAGGTCTTAACAGTACGGACCGAGCGCAGCGAGGTCCGTACAAAAAAGACTGAGGGCCGATATTCTTCCAGTACGGTCCCGAGCAAGCTTGGTTAATAAGAGATTTATTATACGACTGAAGTTCAAAGAGACACAAGTGCGGTATCATTCGGGACCATTCGGGACAGTGCCCGGTCCAATACTGAGAGAATATTGACCGGCAATAGAGCATTTTGATTGGTTGATTTTAGTTATTGGCCCTCTGACTACCCGAGTCGTGTAATATATATATATTGGAATCTATTTTTGTATCTGTAGTTGTGGATTACCGAGAAATCCAGTCTCCTGCTGAGTGTGGAGGAAGTCACCAACATGAAGGACCTTGCTACAGTCATGATCCTGCAGCGACGTCTCAACAGCATCCAGCGAGATCTGGGGCCTTTAGAAGACAAGGTAAACTTTCTGTTGTAGACTCGCCTTTTCCTAGACAGTGTCTTACTTTGATTTTTCCTTTAATCGTCCGTTAAAGCGTGAGACCTATTCAATACAATAGATTAAGTTTTGACGAAAATCTTCCTCATAGGTCACAAAGTTGGAAAATGACTCTGAAGTTCTTTGCTCTGAATACCAAGGGGTGAGTACTAAAACCACACAAACTCTTCTTTAACTGTTGATTTTAAGCTTTTCAACATTTGTTGTCTTTATGATTGTGTTTTGTTCCTTTCGCTTCCTATTTACATGTGAGTGATTCTCCTATTTTTGTTTTTGTTTTTGTTGTTGTTTTTGTTTGTTTCTCCAGGAACCTGAAGAACCAATCATAAGGGATAAAATTACTGTCGTCAGCAGTGCCTGGGTCGATCTTAAGGACAACGTGAGTTAATTTTTGTCACACTTAAAGTTTAAGGAAAAACTTGTACCTCTAACAGGTGTGACGTTGTTGTTATTTATACGGAAGGATACCACATAATAACGGTTTGTTAAGCAAGAAAAGCACGAAGCTGAAAGAAGTCAACGTTATAAGACCTGGGAGGGTTCAGGTTGGAAAGGATTCGTGAGAATTGCAAATTATAGTTTTGAGAAATTTAAACTAAAGATAAGACTTTCATGATTGAGAAACCGTTGGGTAGCTCCTTATGCCGCTAGTTGGAAACGAACTTATGTAAGCCGATTGATATGACACCCTGACCTACTCGCGGCATTCATTTCCATGTTTTCAACAGGTGAAGCAGCGAGATGATGCTTTGGCAGAATCAGGAGAATTGCAGCGCTTCGTTATCGATCTTGACAACTTCCAAATTTGGTAAATATGACATACACTTCATGTCTTCATCAAGATACTTTCCGAGACTTGGGAGTGACACAACGAAAACTTGTTGGTTTTTTTTTTTTTTTTTTTTTCAGTTAAATCGAGAAGGGCTTTACTAACTAAAGACCTTTTCATTTTCTGTTAGGTTGAACAACACTCAGAATGAAGTTGCCTCTGAAGAAATGCCTGTATCGCTTATCGACGCAGAGAAGATGTTGAAAGAACTTGAAGACTTAAAGGTGCTGTTGCTGAATTGCTATGGAGAAGACTGTTAAAATTGAAACGTTTTGACAAAACTCCTTTCGTGTAGTTTTATTTTAAAAAAGGACAGCCGACCTGTTGACCCAAGAAGAGTTATTAGCAATACCATTTAGCCTTGCATGAAGTAATATCCTTAGCAACAGTCATTTGACTTTTCGCGCAAAAGGGAGTGTGTCGCATGTCTGTGAAGGAAAGCGGAGGAAAGCGCGCGTGATCTCCGACTAATGAGAGCCTCCCTGTTTACGCTTCGCCGCTTATATTACAGATCTATAATATTTTCGCCACTGCAAGTAATGTCGCGAGAACAATAGGCATTTTGCCCAATGGATTCCTTGGGTTTTAACATAATGTTTAGAGAAAAAAAACTACCTGTCGAGGGGGCCGAGATTTTTGGTAGTCGGTTACTGCCATTGCAATGCACTTTACCTAGGATTATCTTAAGACTGGACAAAATTGAAGGTTATCATAGCGATGAAGCTCTCTTATGTACAAAGCGTGCCTTGGTCTAATGTTTACTGCATTACTCTTGTAGGACGAGATTGACAGCCGAGAACCTGACTTCAAGCAGTTGATGCTGAGTGGTCCAAAGTGGATCCAGGACGAGTCAGATCTCCAGCAGCAATCGTTGAAAGAACAGCTAGACAACTTGGAGACTGGATGGAATGATGTGCACATCCTGTGGGATAACAGGAAGAAAATGCTCATTCAGGCTTTGAACCATCAGGTACGGTGAAACGCCAGCGAAAATAACTCATAGACGGAAGAATGTGAACGCTCGCACGCACAGACCTACAGTCAAGTAAACACACGCACGCACAGACTGACAATCAAGTGAACACACCTCCTTTTAGCTGTTAGAGATAATAATTAGAAATTTAACGATTTCGTCAACGTCTTAACTCATTGTTATTCCTGTCTGTCTTTTTCTTAGCTGTTTATTCGAGACTCCAAACAGTGTGAAGCTATTCTCGGCCAGCAAGAGTTGTTCCTGTCCAAGGAGGAAAGCGGAGTAAGTGACGAATAGAAGTTCGTGTTTTGATAATTACGCTAGGTGAAAACCTTAGTTTTAAACTTAAATGGTAACCACGGCGTTGTAACCATATTGGAGTATTACTGAACTATACCAGGCTTTCGTCAAGGAGAGGTATGGACTTTTGTAACTTTACTTATGGACCTCTTTCGATTATGTTGTTGCAAAGCTTTCTCTTTGATTGGTTTTACTGACATGTATACACTTCTGTTTGACAGGCTACTGTGGAAGCCGTGAAGGAACTGATTAAGAAGCATGAGGAATTCGACAAGCGAATGCAAACAAATGATGACAAGATCAACCAAATGATGCAGTTTGCTGAGCGTCTCAATGATGAAAATCACTATGCATCTGACAAGATCACTGAGAAAGCCCGAAGCATAGATGAAAGGCAAGAATAATTGTCTTTTTTTTTTTTTACTTTTTTCCTTCCTTTCTCCTTTCTTTCTTCCTTCCTTGCTTACTCACTTACTTGCTTGTTTTCCTCTTCTCTCTCTCTTTTTCTTGCTGTCTCACCTATTCTCTCACTCCAGTCTCTCCCGTCCACCCACCCCTGCGCTTCCATCCTTTCTCTTTGCATCCTCTGTCTTCCTCCCTTCCGTCCCTCTCCACCCTCCCCACCCCTCGTCCGTCCTAACATAAAGTTTACCGTTTTCGCAGGAGGAACGCAAATCACGAAAAGATGGCGGCAACATTGAAGAGGTTAAGAGATGCTTTGGAGCTTCAACAATTCATCCAAGACGCCGAGGATGTAAGTTATTGTTATGAACTCCGCATGGCATCATAATGATATAGAGATTCAAAATTTCAAGGGGAATTTGCTCGTTAGGGAGGTTTTTTCTACCGAAAAATAGTCCAAAGGAAGATTGTAAAAATTGTAAAACTTAATTTTTTTAATGAAAAAGCAGTTAAAATGAGTGGTCAGCCGTTTTATTCCAGCTTTAAGATTTCAATGTGAGAACTCCTTCTTTTAACTCCATAGATGTATGACTGGCTGAATGAGCGGTTGTTGATCGCTTCGGAAGAGACGTACAGAGACTTAAGTAACATCCAGGGTAAAGTCATGAAACACAGGACCTTTGAGGCTGAAATCCAAGCCAACAAAGAGCGCCTCGACAACATCTGTGAGGTGAGTGAGACTTAACAGAGATACATTTTTCAAGATCAAAATGCATTCAGGAAAATCTCACCTTCTTGTTTTTCCCGTTCGCAGTCTGGAAACAACATCGCGGAAGAAAAACCACAAAACAGACCAGAAATTGAAGACCGTCTTGAAAAACTGAACGTCAAATGGCAAGAACTGTCAGATGCGTCCAAACAGAAGGGAACCAAGTTAGGAGATGCACAGAAACAAGAAGAATTCAACACCGGCGTTCAAAACATTCAACAGTGGTTCACGGAGATCGAACAAACTGTTGTCACCCATGAGAAGGCGACTGATTTGACGACAGCCACAAGGCTCTACCAGAAACACAAGGTGCGTTTAATGGAAAGTTTCACGATCTTTTCAAGTTAACAGTTACCTACAAATCGTCGAAGCCGTCAGACTGTCTGTTTGTTACTGCTGAAAAAGACTAAAAAGGTAGTAATCTGTACTGATGGAACGATAATGGTAAACTGAGAAGACTTGAGAAAAGTACCATTGACAAGACACTTCTCTTCAAGCTCTGAACACTGGAGACTGAGAATAAGGCTAAGCGCTGAATATTTTAACATGCGAGATCGAGGAGTTACTCGAGAAGAATGCCTACTCAACTCCTAGACATCTTATCTTTTATTGAACTTTCTAAATGTTACAAGAAAGTTGATTTTTCTTGTCTTTAGATGATGGAGAAAGAAATATTGGCAAGGCGACAGCGTATGCAAGAACTGAACAGCCAAGCTCAAGATCTTGTCGATGCAGGCCACTTTGATCCTAATGCAGTTGAAGAAACTCGCATTGTTATGGAAGAAAGGTTCGTTGGAAATTTTTTTTTTAATGTTTTTTATATGTTAGTGTCGTCTTAAATGTTTTTTTTTTTTTTAGTTGAATGGTTTGTTTGTTTGTTTGTTTTTGTCCAGTTGGCATGCGAGGAATCTTTTTGCTCAGGAAGAAGTCGCCTTGTACAGAAATCGGACTATTCAGTTATATCGGTAGTTGTAATAACAGTCCTCTTTGTCAACGCTTTAACTCCCCCGAAGTGATTGACTTGTAACATCTCCCCATGACAACCACACATTATCCAACAAGTAGGTAATGAAAATACTAAACCTCATCAGGTACAAGTTATCTCGATCTCAAGCCACTTTCCTGTTACTAATTTACAAGAGAATGTGTAGCAGCTAGTGGGGTGAATAAACAATCAGATTTTGGGAAGTAAACGGTGGTACAAGAAATGTGGACACGGTGAAAGGTATAAATTTATTATAAAGGTGGTCAAAGTAACATTTTTATGCTGAATTGTTCACTATTGCTTTATTTCGCAGGGTTGACGCTATGGCTGCTCCATTATCCGAAAAAGGTGTAGAACTTGAACGTACCCTCGGCTATTTCCAGTTCAACAGAGATGTCGACGATGATGAGGTAAGGAGATTAGACACGAGTCTTGCATGATATGTTGCTCGAGGAGACACATCGTAAAAAATGATCATTTAATTATCCCAGTGAGATCTCTTAAGCCTTTCAACGTTCGGGATGCTGCGCAAAAAAACGTCCATAAATTTTATTTTGGTCTGGTGTGGTTTTTCGGTAAATTGAACAGTAAGAGTTTGGATAGACGCAGTCATCGATCAGTATTGTCATGTCTGTTTCAGTATAAATATTATTTGGTTGTTTTCAGGCTTGGATTAAAGAAAAGGAGCCTTTGCTTCAATCTACCAACTACGGCAACAACCTGTTTGAAGTGCAGACATTGCAAAAGAAACATAAGGTACGAGTCTGGAATGTATGCGTACAGAAATATTTAAGTTACTTTTGATAGAGAAAGATGTTTCTCAGCAAATCATAGACAAATCAGAAAAAGGTATAAGTTTTTCAAAAAAATTAGTGTCTTCTAGGATTTAAGGTCCGTGGAAATTTCTTTGAAGGCTGAAGGAAAACGAAGCAACGCCAGGAGGGACTTGGGAAAATAATAATAGTTATTAAATGCGAATTCCTTTTCTTTTCCGTAAGCTCTTGGCGGTACAAAGCACCTGAACATTGTTTATTTTTACTTTATTTATACACGTAACACCAAGGAACTCCTGATAACGTGCACGTGTGTACCCATCCTCCCACCCTGGGGAGGACATCCACCACACGGTAATCTCGTGCGTGGAAAATTAACGTTTTCTACCCCTAACGAGACGGGACCTACTGTTTTATTTGTCCTTATCCGAGAAGACTAGAATATCTATCCATTTCTTGATATTATAGAAAGGTAGCAAATTCTCCTCAGTGATTTTGAAGACCATGAGTATTGGTCCGGCTGGGGCTTGAACCCTCGACCTCTCGCACAACACAATCCGGCGCTCTAACCAATTGAGCTAAGTAGGAGGCAGTTAATTCTGGTTCATGCAGTAAAGTGATCGGCTGTTTTTCCAACACTTTTAAACTGACTTTCCTGGCTCACCACAGAGTTCTCTGTGCCTTTCAACCCATCCCATTTGTCGCATATCCAATACACAGACATTCACGGGAAGCTACAAGATAATTATAATGTGACACGTCCTGGGCCTAATCTCTCTATGACGAAACGCGGTACACGGTGGAGTTACGATAAAATGCTAGATAATCTCAATCTTTCGTATTTTTGGTACGACATTCCCTGGAAAAATCATTCGACAAGTGACACGCATCGCTTTTTTTTTTCTTCCACCTATTCATCTTTTCAACCCCGTACTACCTCATCGCCAAAAGATTGGTTCTGCCTCAAAACTTACTTTTCCTCTCTGCCGTTCCTGCGTCCAACAAGAATCTGTCAAGCCCATGGGAGAACGATACTACGTATGCCCCCACACGGATGACGAACGGAAGCTAACCGGTACGTGGTGCACGCCTGAAATCCAAAAAGCCATCGAGATGGGGTACCAACTCATCAAGATTCATGAGTTGTGGCATTTCGTAAAAAGACGACGTGGACTCTTTGCTCCTTACGTCGACGCCTGGTTACAAATCAAGCAAGAAAGTAGCGGTTACCCCGCCTGGTGCCAGACGGAGGAGGAAAAAGCCCACTACGTCTAACAATATAAACCGCGTGAAGGGATCGACCTGGACCCTACCATGATTGTCAAAAACCCTGGGAGGAAAGCCACAGCTAAACTCATGCTGAATTCCTTCTGGGGGAAGTTTGGCCAAAATTGCAACAAGTCCAAGGTTCATCAAATCACACATCCCGCGTCTCTACTAAACCTTATTGATGACCCCTTGGAGCAGATCCAGGATATCCGTGACCTTTCCCCCGAGCTAGTGGAGGTAGTAGCTAAACGCGACGATCAAGACCCAGAGAAAGGTCGTGCCACCAATGTTTTTATCGCCGCGTTACCACCTGCCAGGCCCGCCTTAAATTGTACTAGTCGCTGGAAATTTGGAAAGATCGAGTCCTGTACTACGATACCGACTCTGTGGTATACAAATGGAAACCGGGTGAATCAGAAATTGCGTTGGGGGATTATTTGGGGGACATGACAAATGAGTTGGACAAAGGAGACCACATCGCAGAGTTTATCTCAGCTGGTGCAAAGAATTATGGCTATGTCACTGCGCAAGGGAAATCATGCGTGAAAGTAAAGGGGTTCTCCTTAAACGTGCGTGGAATGGCCCAGTTAAACTACGGAATCATGAAAAATAACATCCTAGAGGAAATAAGTCACCCCCTAGATGAGTCAAGAAAGACGGAAATTATCAACCCTGTACATTTTGTCCGCGACCCAGTTAAAAAGAAAATAGGAACAGAAACCCAGATTAAAGCATATAGATTAGTGTTCGACAAGCGTGTGATGGACAATGGAACATTTAGATCGTTGCCGTATGGTTATATTAGATTAGATGATGAAGACATAGAACTAGCCAACCTTTTAGCGTTTTAAACTTTGGTTTTTTATTTTATTTTTTTTTTCCAATAAAAAAAAATTAACGAGACCGTGTTTTTATTTTTGTACACTTTAAAAAGCGATGCGTGTCACTTGTCGAATGATTTTTCAAGGGATTGTAGTACCAATAACACGAAAGATTGAGATTATCTAGCGTTCTATTGTAACTCCACCTTGTACCGCGTTTCGTCATAGAGGGATTAGGCCCAGGACGTGTCACACTATTATTATCTTGTAGCTTCCCGTGAAAGTCTGTGTATTGGATATGCGATTTTTCCGTCCACCCAGCCCTTTTGCAGAGTTGTCTGGGTAACTCGAAATATACGTAATCACGGATGCGTGAATCTCTTACATGGGTCGGATCTATGCGTTCACCGGACACTGGGACGGTACCTTTCTCTCGATCGCAATGCACGTCGAATATCGTGCAGTGTGAACAAATAAATCATATGCAAAAAACCAAATGTTGTACTTAATTTCTCCGCCATATTGGATTCTTTTGTTACCTTTGTACCGTTACTTTTTAAACCTGAAATTCTACATACGAACCGACGTGAAATTTAACCCTAACCCTCTACAACCCTAATCCCAAAACCCTAAACTCTAAAAACCCCTCGTACACCTACGCGAAATTTAACCCTAACCCCCTAATACCCCTAAACCCTAAACCCTAGAAACCCTCGTACACCTACGCGAAATTTAACCCTAACCCTTAAAACCCCTCGTACACCTACGCGTTATGAATAACTACTTTGACCTCACTCGAACCCTGACCCCTCGGTTTTACCCAGTCAGGCGCCCTAGGCTACTCTTGTAATAGAGCATCGAAGCTCGGAGTCTGAAGGTTTGGCTTTCATTGCTCGTAGATGAATCAGATGATTTCTTGTCCGCTCTTTCTTGACAAAGAGAACGTCTTTCGTAACGGACTAACTAGGATTTTTTTCTTGTTTTAAAAGACCTTGTGTGCCGAGATTGCTATTCATGAAGCTCACAAAGACGCCATTTGCAAACGAGGACAAGAACTCGTGGACTCCGAACATCCCGAAGCTGAGCAAGTGGCCGTTAGGACCCAGGACCTGCAAGAGAAATACGACAATCTTAAAAAATTGTCAGATGCGTACAAAGGTCAACTGGACTTGTCACTTCAAGCTAAACAGGTTTGTTTAGTTCTGGCTAGCTTTGACGATCCAAAGATTCATAAAAAGTCAAACTCGCGCGCAAAAGATAGGGTTACACAATTTGGAATGTGTTTGTTTGTTTGACATCTCTGACTTAACCCATGCTATCAAAATCATCTTTTACGCCCCCAAAAATTGTTTCTATAGTTTCTGTTGGGGTATGTGTAATGTTGGATCCTCAAAACAATTTTTCTTTACTTGCTGTTATAGTAGTTCTTTATTATGAATCGTAGTAACGGATGTTCCATATTTAAGAAATGTGCCGCGACATGAAGGAGACGTGATGAAAAACTGGTCTTTTATCTTCTTGCAGTACTACTACGATGCAGCAGAAGCTGAATCGTGGATGAGCGAACAAGAATTGAACATGATGGGTGATGAGCGTGGAAAAGATGAAGCGAGCGCCAATGCTATGCTCAAGAAACACGAGACTTTGGAGGCCGCCATCGCTGACTATTCCGAGACCGTCAACGAACTTGGCGACACAGCTAATGCTCTTGTGGAGAGCGAGCATCCCGAGAGGTAATGAAAACATGTTACTTTCTTTCGAATTTATCACTTTTTAGTGCGTTGTGTTTCAAAGTTGCTACAGGTTCTAACGGTGGGAAGAAAAAAAAAGAAAAAAAAACAATAACCTAAGGCTGTCTCTCCTTTGTGTCGATTTATCCCGCAAGAGGGAGAGCTATTCAAGCTCAGTTCCCAAGATTTACAAAACGTTAGAATGCACAACTAAGTGGACTAATATTCCAAGTTGTCAAGAAAGCGGTGAACCCACAAATTTTCGAGCGTGTCATTTTAAAATTTACAAAAGAACGAACAAAAAAAAAAAGGAACGAAAAAGAATAAAGGAGGATAATTCACAATAACTTCATTTTAAATGATCAAAAATGATCACTGTATTTTCATTGGAGTACTTTTAGTTGTATGTTGCGGTTTTGTTTGAGATGTCCCCTTTTAAATTTCCTCTTAAAACGCCTCGGTGTTAACGTTCATCTTAGTGAGCCAGTCAAGAAACGTCAAGCTCAGATCGAAAAATTGTACGAGGGACTGAAGGACTTGGCAGAAGAACGCCGAGGCAAACTGGACGAGACTCTTAAACTGTATCAGTTGCAGGGAGAAATCGATGATCTGGAACACTGGATCGCGCAGAAGGAAGTGGTGGCCGGATCACAGGACATTGGACAGGATCTTGCTCAAGTAGAGGTAAAATTCATTCTTTCCTTCATTCACATGTTATGTTTGTTTCCATTTTTTTTTTAAAGGAAGCTTGCGTTTTGACACCATAGATACAAGATTTTAGGGTTTATTTTAGTTGAAGGCCTATCGAAGTGACCCTGTAGAGGTTCTTAATTGATCGATTTAATAAGTACAATGATACTAAAATTGCCAAGCAGTCAAAAGTCATTTTAGGGGGTTAATAACAGAGAGAAATAGTAGGAGTTGTTATTGGTTTTAAGCACTATACAAGAAACTTCGTGCAATATGAAATCTCATATATTTCGAACAGGGTCTGCTAAATACAATACAAACCACAGTAGCTTTCTTTAGGTAGAACCCTTTGAATTTTATCATCTGTTGGTGCACGTTTCTCTTCACTTGACTTGGTGTCCTTATTCATGGAATCGGCTCCAAGCTCTGCGCTTTATTTTGTAGCTTTTGTTGTAAAACCTCTCGTAGTTAATTCCCTTTGTCGATTCTTTATCTGTCAACAGTTGCTTATCGAGAAATTCCGCGAGTTCGCGCGTGATACTACTAACACTGGCACTGAGCGCGTGGCTGCCACGAATGCTGTATGCGATCAGCTGATTGGAACAGGCCACTCTGACGCTGCCACGATAGCGGAGTGGAAAGACCAGATCAACGAGTCATGGGCTGTTCTCTTGGAACTTATTGAAACAAGAACTAAGGTAGGAGAAAAATTTCTGTTATTGTGGTCATTTGAGAGTTTCTCGATTGAATATTTAATTCATCAGAATCTGAAAAAAAGACACATTTGACCGTTTCTTAGTGTAGGAAACTGCTTGTGACTTTTAAATCGAGATTGACTGAGTTTTTACATTTTCTTGGTTAAGAGGTTTTTCTTATCTTTACTGAAGTAGAACCAATAAAATTCAGGATTATTTTAAACCACACTTGGAAATTTCTCAACTTTTTTTGTTACTATTCTGTGGATGTTTGCTTGTTTTTGTTGTACTCTATTTGATATAACGGTTATTGCGTTGCGTATCTAACAAAGTTGCTTTGGTTGCTAAATTTTCTCAGATGTTAGAAGCTGCCCGCGAACTGCACAAGTTCTTTTACGAGGCCAAAGAAGTATTGGCCATGATTCATGAGAAAGAAAACCTTCTCACAGACGACCTTGGCCGAGACCTGAACAGCTTACATCAACTGCAAGTTGTGCACCAAGGATTCGAAGCAGATTTGGCGCCACTCGGCAATCAGGTATGACTTTCCAGCTCTTTTGCTGAAAGGGCTTGTACCATTTGCACGACAAAGCCGATTTTTCGGGTTTGAAAGCAAAGGGAGATTTTTGTAAGAGAGATTTTGTTAAGGTGGCGATAGGCCTTCCTGCATTCCTTGCGAATGTCAAATTGTACTTTCAAATCCGCTCAGACTTCCTTATTTAGATAATCATATCGCAATTGTGGTTGCAGTAATTTCTCCGCCGTTTTTTTTCCCGGAAACGCGGATAGTCAGCTCATTCCAGCCATTTGATGAACAAGGTCCAATTCTTGTTTTCATAACCAGGTCGTCGCGGTCCAGGAGGAAGCTAGTCGTCTCCAGGGCTCTTATGCCGGCGACAAAGCTAAAGAAATCCAAGCCAAAGAGGATGAAGTTGTAGACGCGTGGAAGCGTCTCAACTGGAGAGTAAAACAACGAACCGAGCGCCTCCATGATGCTGATGACTTGTACCGATTTCTATTGGCTGTTCAAGACCAGATGCTGTGGATGAATGACATGCTGAAACAAATTTTAACCTATGAGAAAGCGAAGTGAGTACACCCATAAAAAGAGTGAAATCACGCTGACATAGTCGTGTTATAAATGGGAGCAGTAATTCGCAATATTATCATAAAAATCGCCTCCAGATACAATGAAATGAAACTTTTTTGGGGAAATGGAGCCAAACACCAAAAAAGTAAGATATGGAACAAAGGAAGTGAGAGTGCAAAATTTAGAGAGGGTTGCAAATAACGAACTTAAAAAAAGGTGTGACACAGATATCAATGTAACTTAAAATTTCTGACTACAACTCGGCCCCAAAAATAAAAAATAAAAAAACTAAAGAACAGTGAAAGAGCTCTGTTGACCCCCATAGCATTCCCGGAACCAAAGTAGCCATTATATATTTTATCTTGTGTTACTTCAGGGATGTACCTGGAGTCGAGGTGTTGATGGAGCAACATCAAACCAGAAAAGTTGAAATTGATGCGCGCGAAGACAGTTTCCAAGATGTGGTGAAGATGGGAAAAGTCTTGATCGACCGAAACCACTACGCCACTCCTGAGGTAAAAAAGAATGTCTAAGTTTCAGTTTCTATCTCAATCCTTTCAGTTAATATGACTAAGTATAAAAGATAATGCAATAAGTTAGGGAAGATCGTGATTGCCACAGCTCAGGAGAAAGGCAGGCAACAAAAAGTGTCTTCAAGGTTAGGGGAACGCCAGGGAATTTCACTACGAGTCAAGGAAAATTAAGATCTTTGATAGAGGTCTAGGAAAAGTATAATTTCTAGTAAATATGAGGTCATTCATCTTGTCTCGGCCCTCTTCATGATAAAAGATGACGACACTTTCCTTTTTGTGATGTCGATGTCGATGTTAGTCGTGTATATTGTTTGGTACAGCTGACAAATTCGTGGCCAGCATTATTATAATTGAGGTGTCCTTTACACAGCGCGTTACAAAATTGTTACACTTGTATTTGACCTTACGGAAATGTAAGATTTTTATTTCTCCATCTTCCAGATCAACGAGAAGCTAGACATGTTGAACAGACACAAAGATGAATTGTCACTTGAGTGGGACAAGAGATGGGAACATCTGCAATTAGGTAATGGCGCGTCCGCTTCCATCTTTCCTCCTTTTTCCCACTTTCTCCTTTTTTTGTTTTCATGAATTTTGATTAAGCCATTTTCAATTTAGTGTCGAAAGTAATCCGTGATTGCGTTGGATTTGCTTTACTTCATTCTGTGATTGGTCCAGAAAACTCGTGCCACTCTCTCAACCTATCAGATGCCAAACTAAAACCATTCACGACATGTCCGTCCGCGTTTTTCCGCGCTTTAGCCAGTTTGGTTGTGTACACTTGGAGTTCTCATTGGCTCTTAAAGTTTTTTCCTTTCTTCTGATTGGTCGTCGTGATTACTTATGTTTCGGTTTTGGTTTCTCGCTTTTCAATTAAAAAGCGCTCCATGGATTTTAATTTTCTTCGTGTTAAAAAAGTTAAAGAAAACAGACAAACAAGCAGAGCAACGAAGAAGGAATTTCCGCGAAGCCATAACCCTAACAGGTTATTCATTTTTGATTGACAGTCCTCGAAGTCATGCAGTTTGCACGTGATGCTCACATGGCGGAGGGATGGATGATCGCTCAGGAAGCCTATCTGAAAAACGAGAACCTTGGGGTAGGTATTCTCTCTCCGACCGTAAGTTTACGGAAATAACGAGTAAGTTACGAAAGGTCTTTCATATTTCCGAATAAATTTTGTAACTCTTGATCTTTCTCCATGTTCGTTTTTTAGAGCGATCTCAACGAAGTCGAACAGCTGCTGGAGAAACACAGCAACTTCGAGAAACTCGTCAATACTCAAGAAGAAAGATTCCAGGCGCTTGAGCGCCTAACGACGGTAAGATTTTAGACCTTTATATGTTTACAGCATATGTTTACTTACCGTGTCAGAGACGTCCAATTTGTTTTGTATGACTAGGGGCTTGATGAACTTCTCCCATACACGGCAGCCTGCTGGCCCAACAGACGGGGGCAACCGTTTTTTTTTCGTTTTTTTTTTTTTTTAAATTGAAATCCCCGCATCAATTCCTTGTTCCCCAGCTTCTTGAGATCCAGATGTATAATCTTGTAATTTTCAGGCTTGGGTGATGGAGCAATTTTGGTGGGGCGAAAAAATTTGATGAAACAATAGATTCATTTGCATGAGTCGGGGCTGAAATTGTAATTAAGTAGTCGCCAGTGTGACTGTAAAAGTAACTGTTGGCGGGCAGAATTTTTAGTGCCTTTCGCCAGCTGGTGACTTTACTAGAATCATATTAACGTTCTTTATGTAACTGGTGCACGAGAAACAAGACCTCCGTAATTTTTGCGTAGCGCGTTTATACATTTAATCTTGGCTTGTGTATCAGAAAAGTGTCTTGAAAAATGACCAAACGGTCGTTTGGCGTCCTCATTGATCCCTCTTGCTTGACGCTTAAGTAAAATAGTTTCTTTCAAATCTTGACTAATTGGAGTTGAGATTGGTAATGGTCACCTCGGCGCCTTGCTGGCGATTTGCATGTCATTTCGCTCACGCGCTCACGAAACAAGGGATGTATAGTTATCTTGTGCCAGACAACACTCATATTATGCCTCTTTTTCTGAGCCTATACTCAAATGAACGCTTCTGCCAGGTCTTAAGGATCAATGCACAGTGGTCGGGCTGAAATTCTCATTTCTTTAACCGAGAACAACTTTCCTTCCGGTCGAGTTCCCTGGAACGTAACAACTTAACTAAATGTGTGCTATGTTCTTATATCAGTACGAGCTTCGTGAAGGAAAGCGCCGCAAAATGGAACAAGAACGCCGTGAACGAGAAGAAAGAGAAAGAAAAGAGAGAGAGGAACGAGAAAGGCAGGAACAACTGGAACGAATCCGAAGACAGGAGGAAGAAGAGCTCCGACGGCGAGAGGAGGAAGAAGCTCGTAGAAGAAGCGAGCAAAGGGAAGCTGAACAAAGAGCAAAGGATGAAGCTGTTGTTGTCGCTGAAGCTGAAGGGGTAAGTTAGCAGAGGCAATCTTCGTCCACGCTGTTTCCTGCAAAGGGGGTTGCTCTATTGATTATAGATTATCACGAAAAGAGATTGTAAAAGAGAAAGGTAACACGGTCGACGAGTTGAGTGAACCAGGTGCGGACCGCGTTTTCTCTACAACCCCCTAGTTTAAGCTTGGGTTGACCTCCTTTAATTTCCCCCCTCCTATTTTCTGTTTCCTGTTTCCTGTTTCCTGTTTCCTGTTCCCTCCTGTTTCTCCCAAAACGGGAGTGTGTTTGCCGTCTATCTTCGCCGTCACATCATCCTTAGTGATTGAACGCTATTCCTTACGGTTCGATCAGCGAAGAGCATTACAAAATAGCTGCATGCCTTAGAGATCAGGCCGGGTAGTTGGGGTTTACGTCTGTTACTTTGTTTACTCACTTAATTGCCTCAACCACCATTGTTAGATGAAAGATATATATCAGAAAAAAAAATTTTTTTTTTTTTCAACTTGACCTTTTATTGATCTCTCAAGGTCGAAGGCGCACCAGATGAAAGAGACACAGATGAAAGCGTTACAGAAGGTAAAATGGAAGGTTATCTGTATCGTAAACCAACAATGGATGCACCCAACAGAAGGGCACCAATCAGGTAAGTATACCCAAATATTTTCCGATAACTACCGATAATTGTGTGAAATTGATTGACGCGTTATCTTGTACTGTTTAACAACACGAGGAGTAGCATCCATTTTCCCACTGTTATGCTCAGAAAATAAAAAAAAAAGAAAACAGCAATTTTTTAAAACCTTTTTTCTGCAAAATTTATAAGAAATTTAGTTCTTTTCCTTTTAAAACTAATTTAAAGGGAAATGCAGGAATCCTGGTATTTAATTTTTTCGGTTTATATCCACTCCCCCAGGCAATGGAAGCAGTTCTATGTTGTCCTACATGATATGTCTCTTCATTTCTACAAAGATCAGAAAACGGCACGAGTGGTGAGTACTTACATTGGGTTGATTACGTTTAAGGAAAAAAAATAAGACGTGTGGACGTGTTGAGCTTTCCTCAAATTATTAACGCATAAATATTAACCTGTTCACGCAATAACACTTCACGTTTACTTTACTTTTCAGGAACACGAGGCGGCTCATTCGCTGCCGTCAGCGGAGGGTTTCGTGGAAAAAGCCACTGATTACACTAAGAGAAAGAACGTGTTCAGATTCAGGTACATTTTCTTAATATGAATACAACGGCGTTCTATTAGTCGCTCTCAGACCAAAGAGTTCTTACTTATTAGAACCCTAGAATATATATATTTTTTAATAGTATAACATCTTACAGTCACTGTTTCGACGACAAATGTGAACCTATTTTACTATTGACTTCTCATTAACACGCCTCTTTGTTTCATTTTACAGAACCAGCGCTGGTCAAGAGTTCCTTTTCCAAGCTAAAGATGAGGTAAGGAACTTAAGAAATGTCTTTGGCTCCGTCGATAATCAATGAAGATGAAGTATCGAAACGATTTTAGCTTAAGTTAAAAGCGGTGTCGTATTTTATTTGATAAACGCGTCATTGAGTTCAAAATGATAACCTGTAGAGTAGTTTCCTTTATTTTTTTTTTTCGTTTGATTTTTGTCAGAGCGCATCTGAAAGAGTGACATTTTCCATCGTTTTACAGTTGCTGTCCGCGTCTCGAAAATGTCTGCTTATCCCTTGCAAGTCAGAGCGCATCTGAAAGAGTGACATTTTCCATCGTTTTACAGTTGCCGTCCGCGTCTCGAAAATGTCTGCCTATCCCTTGCAACCCGAACATCAGTATGCGTATTCTCTACACAGTTCCGTCTACATTTTATATGGTTCTAACAAGGAGAATTTGTTAAACAATCGAGAGCTAGTTAAAGTGGCTTTCGTTTCCTATATTCGCATGACATTCGCGTTTCATTCATGGGTGAAACTGTGGGTAGAAATTAGACGCCAGTCACCCTTGTGTAGTATAGTATAGCTCTTTTTGTGCAATCTCTAACGCAGATATACATTCTCTCTCCTTACCCTACCCCTCTTAGGAGGACATGAAACTGTGGATTAAACACATTCAGGAGAGTATCCACGAAGAGGCTGCCGGGAAAGACGCATCACCCGGCAAGAAAACTGACAAGGGTAAAGGAGGAAGCGGTATTTTTGGCAAACGAAGGAGCAAAAACTTGGAGAAAGAGGAAAAGAAATAGAAGAGGATGAAACAGAAAATTTACGAATATCTGTGAAACAGTTAATCGCTTTGTTTAGAGATTTCATTTTGTAATGGAGCATTTTCAAACGAATTATTCATTGGCTCCCTGGTAAGGAATGTTGTTTAAACCGCATAGACTTGTTTGTAAAGTTTACTGTGTGTAAGTGTTTTCTTGCTCAGCAAAAACGAATTCAAGAGTGAACTGAGACGGTTTTGGTTTTCAAAAGAATTTTGCGCCTCTTAGTTAGAACAATGAAGAAATAAGATTTATGTGCGAATTTCGGTGGGCAGCGTTAGATGTAAAGATGGGCATTCAGACCTTTGCGTGACAAGGGAGGTGATTAAAATCACTCGAGTGAACACAAGAATTGTGAAATCACTAGAATGGAAAGGTTTTATTTTGTTGTAAGTTTGGAAACCAACATTCATTAGTTCAACATACATATCTGTAGGTGCTTTATTTTGGAAAAATTCCTTTGAAAGACAGAGGGAAATTTTAAGACGTATATAGTTTTTCTTTCATGTTGTTCTTTATTTTTTCTGAATTATGATTAACTTTCATTTTGTTAAGTCATCGAACAAGAGTTTAAGGAGTGGGTTTAGTTGAGAAACTTCGACCTTTTTTGCTTAATTTCTTTCACTGTTATTTTCTTGCGAGAAACTTTGCGCTAAAACGTGGAATGTAGACGATAAAGCTAAATTGGTTCACAGCAAGGAATTATCAACGAAATTATAATCGCGATAACATGACAGGTAATTAGATAATATAGTGTGAACATTTCTTAACATTTTCTTCTCTTAATTCACCTTGAATTATGTAGTACAATAATGCGAACAGCGCTCAGCTGGTCAATAAAGTTAAATAATGCTAAATGATGTCTCTTGCTGTTAGTAAAAAAGCACACTGAACTTGGGTAGTATCTGATCAGCTAGTGAAAGGTAGCCACTTTGTGGGGACGAGCTAAGAAACGAATAGGTGGTTTGCACGTTACATCATAGCCGCCATGTTGGTAGACGTAAACAATGGATGCTCATTAGCTTCTTTTGTTCGTCCACCAGCATTTGTTCCTTTCACCATTGTTACCTGTGTCTCTAGAGATTGGTTGCAAACCACCTATTGGGGAAGAAATCTGCCTGATTTTCCACTGCCTTCTCATTCGTCTCTTCTAACCTTATTCGATGGTTAAACACATTATTCGAGAGTCCATTTGCTCATTCCACGTACTTTTCTGAGTCCCGTATAATTTTATTTACTCGTATTTTGGCTTCTGGTTATCAAAATACTTCCTTCGGCCTGGAAAGAGCATTGAACAAGGAGTGGGAAAAAAGACGAAAACAGAACAAATGAAACCATTAAATGTGCTTATAAATTAGTTGCTTGAATAGACAAGCCTAAAAAACTAGAACAAAAATTAAAGTTTGGATGGCGCACTGAGGCCATCAGGCTTCTCCCTTTTCTTTTCGTACTAGTGCCTTTAGCTAGGATACTAAAACTCGAGAAGGAAGGAGCGGAACTGTACTGTTTCAATTCACCCCTTTCTGACCCTACGGAGGCAGGGGTAACATTTCATTATTAGCTAAATAAATATAAACGGGTAAATATATGGTAGTCAGTCTTCAAGGCAGCGTGGGGGGAATATAGAGAGAGGAGGATCGATTAACCCCGCTACCCCTAGGAACGACTGAGATCAAATTTCTCACCACATGACCACTGTCGAATCAAACATTAAGGTTAGGAGAATAGAGAAAATGATCGCAAACTAAAGAAGCTCGCAGTTGTCAGATACTAATGGAAATGTTAAAAGAGAAGCATGGAAAATATACATTTTGATTCGAAGATGTGAAGTGTTCAACGGAGAAGAGAGATAACAGTCACGTCATCTCATGTTGGAGTGTGGGGAGCGACTCTTCTTAATCTTATAAAAGAAAATAAGATCAAATAAAATCTACTGGAAAGGAAATTGTGAGTCAGAATGAGAGACCACCCTTTCCACACTGAATCATGCCAAGTGAGAAGGGGCAGGAACTGTGGTGCTGCACTGGGGGTGGGGGGGGAGGAGAGGGGATTTTATGGTAATTTGGTTTTATCAACTGAGTTGATAATAAACAATTATTGGATTCGGTTTTTGTGATAACTGGAATAATCAAGGTCTAGGTAATAAGAGACCACCCTTTCCCCACTGAATCATGCCAAGTGAGAAGAGGTAGGAACTGTGGTGCTGCACTGGGAAGGGGGGGAGGAGGATTTTATGGTAATTTGATTTTATCAACTGAGTTGATAATTTGGTTTTATTAACTGAGTTGATTATAAACAATAAACAAGATTCAAGGTCGAGGTAATAAGAGACCACCCTTTCCACACTGAATCATACCAAGTGAGAAGGGGTAGGAACTGTGGTGCTGCACTGGGGNTAAAAAAGCTATTCAGTATGTACCTAAATATGACCAACTAGGACACGCAACCCTACGAGTGACCAGCATCTAATTTCTCCTTGCAATAACTTTGCTGAATCATTAACTAAGAACTTTAGAATAAAGGAAGTGATTGCTAACCTAACAAACTTTGATTGTTGAACAAATTCTCCTTGTGAGTACCAAAAGATATTTATAGAGAGTAGTATGGAGAACATAGATTCTGTTGATAGGACGTAATGTTTTAAAGAAAGCTTGGGTAAGAACAAATTCGATCTACTTACAAACTTCGTATCTGAATTAGATATTTGCTATTGTTCAAGAGAAAGTGTTTCGATAAGTTTTCCATAACTTATAGAATTTTTCTAACAAAGCAAAAGATTACATAGTGATAGCAAATCCTAATTGATTGATTCTTAGCTTTTCTATCTTTCGAAAGCATAGGATCAAATGCAAAATGTAAACGGATGGGAAAAGTCAGAAAAAGAGCCTGGCCCAAGCTCGAGAGTACTTAAAAGAAAGAGGTCCTCGTGACACTTGAATTTTTCACTTCTCAACATTCCTAAACTGCACGATGCACATTTTTACCTTCACTGTCATGCAAGTCACAGAATCAAGCGAACTAAAAGATAAATAAAAAATAGAAAAAGTAATAACAACCTGAGCTTTCCCAAACCGTTTATCAAATTGAAGCTTACTAATTATCAAATGATAAACCCAACAGCGTACACTATTGAGTTATGGATGCACGCGGGAGGTTGCTAAGCACGAAAGAAGCGTAAGAGTCGCTCGAGGCGATAGCCGAGAGTGGCTCTAGCTTCTTGAGTGCTTAGCAAACCTCCCAAGTGCATCCATAACTCAATAGTGTACGCTGTGGTGTTTACCATTTGATTTATAACATAACATTGATACATTGTAGCTAAAGAGTTTCCTTTTATTTAACAAATCTTACGCGACCAGAAAAAAACAAGCGCGTGAGGAAAAATAGTCTTTGCATTTGCTCACGTCAGCAGCGTACACGCATGGGCAAATGGGGGACGCTAAATTGACCAATCAGAGCGCCCGCTTTACCTTGGTTATGTTATAATTAACAATTATTCCACGAGTGCGCGTTGGATATGAGATGATAGATAGCCAACGCGGCGCGTGGCGCCGAGTTGGCAATAATCATCTCATATCCACGAAGAAACCTGATTTTTTAGCTCCCTTTTGATTTTAAGCTGACGCGTATGCTTACCATATTTGTAGATTATGGTATATTGGCTCAAATACCATAATGGCCAAGCCAATAAAAAGTCTTGAATTGCATTATCCAATGATCCAGTTTTTTATAATTGAAAATATGTTCGACTTTGTCATGCTTTGACAGACAATCCAGAGCAAGTCGAGTAAGGCCAGGCTCCTCTTATTGGCAGAATTCGTTTTCATAACCCATCTAGAACAATCTACGGTTTATCGATTTATTTATTTATTTGTTTGTTGACTTTACTATGACACTGACCGCTTGTTCAGAGTTTAAAGGCAAACATAAATTTTGGAAAATTGCGTTCAAATGTGTTAAAAATAAGACCTTGGAAGTTTTCACTTTGTTTTCACATTAGTCGATCAAGTTTCTTTATCTGTACGGTTTCTGTGGTATACTTCTCCCTAAAATTATGTTTCTCGTTCTTTCGGCGCAAATCAGACCAAATTACTCTTTCCGGTGGCAGCTTGAGTTTTGTTTTCAAACGAGAACAGCTGAATGCGATGGTTTCCCAACTCACACACGACAATGCGGCCATCATTTAGCATTGAAATCGATCTAGGATGATTGAATTCTCCAAGACCTGTACCTTTTGTTCCAAACTTACCAACAAACTTTCCACTCAGTTCAAATACCTGTATTCTGTGATTCTCTGTATCACAGACCATCAGGTGTCCTGACTTGTTCACTGACAAACCATTAGGACTTTGAAACTCCCCGTCCCCTTTACCCTGCTTTCCAAACTTGTACTGAAAGTTTCCATTCCTGTCAAATACTTTAATGCAATGTTCACCTCTGTCTGACACTATGAGATATCTATCATATTGAACACAGTGGACAGGGAAATTTAAAGAGCCCTTCACGCCAAACTTTTTAAGAAACTTGCCTTCAGGGGAAAATATTTTGATTAGCTTGTTCCCTTTATCAACAACAAGGATATTACCATCACTATCAACTGATAAGCCGCGAAGATAACTTAGATGAACATCGAGGCCTCCTTTTCCACCAAATTTTCCCAGGAATTCACCCTCCCTACTGAAAATTTGGACTCTATGGTTATCTTGGTCTGCCACAAAAATGTTCCCATTTTGGTGAAATGTAATTCCCTTCGGCTTTTTAAATTCTCCCATCCCGTTACCTAGTCGACCGAAGGATTTTAAATTAAGTCCATCAGTGTTAAATATTTGAACACGGTGGTTAAAAGATTCGGTTACAGCTATCTCATCAATGGCATTTACTGCCAAACCACAAGGCTTATTTAACTTTCCATCACATGAGCCGAAAGTTCCAAAAGTTGAAACTGGTGTTAGCTTGAATTGTTTTACCTTCATAATGAGAGGACTTCCAATGGTTTGTTCCCCATTTACCTTCATAGTCACCTCGAATCTACCTGAATCTCTTGGAGAGTAGCTGATCTGATAGCGTCCGTCTTCACTGTTATTTATTCGCACCTCTGCGGTACATTGTAGATGTCTTTCGTCAGTAATCTCTACTGTTACATTGTCATATTTATTGTAACATTGCTCTCCTTTAGCGTTTTTCGTGGTCAAAACAAACTGTACCTCGTGTCCTATGAAAACTTCACTCAGTTCTTTCCCCTCCGTAACAGACATTCTTGCTTCCGTTTTTTTGGATGCATGTAGTAAAATTCCAATTTCTTCGGAGTTGACGGTATTCAGCATCTTTTGATTTTCCATGAAAACCAGAGCAGGAATGTTTTGCGGGTCACTTTCAACTAGTTGACTTTCATTTTGAGTCGCAATTGTTGCATGCAATGACTTCTTCAGTTGAACGACTTCTGCGTCTGTACGTCGCGTCAAAAGCTCGTTGGTTTTTTCCAGCGATGATTCAATGCTCTTTATTTGACTCTCAATCTCCGTTTTTTCTGCTGTCAGTGCTTGAAGGGATTCTTTTGTTTGGTTTTCAACCTTTGCAATTATATTTTCTTTCTTCGATTGAATAAGCGCGATCAAGTCGTCAACAAAGCTTTGAACATTTCTTTTCGCCTCCTCACCTTGTTGAATCAGTTTAGCATATTCCTTTTCGAGCTGACCAATAGTGTTTATCTTTTCTCGCAAATTGCGTTTCTGTGCCTCAATCAGGGATTTCATTTCAATCTTTTGCCTCTCAGCTTCTTCTTGTAAGTGTTCCAACGCGTGACCTGCATGGTCCATCAAAACACAAGTTTGGCAAACTACTGCGTCGCAACCTTTGCAAAAATATTTCAGCTCTTCTTTCTCGTGTCGCTGCTTTGAGCAATAGGACGGACGTTTTATCACATCCTCAAAGTCCTCATCTCGAAAGTCTTTGAGCGCAAGAACTCGATGATCTTTGCTACTTCGCATGATGTTGTGTCCAGTGACGCATTCTTGGCAATAAAATATGCAACACTGGAAACAGTAAGATGTCTCAGAGCTTTTCTTGTCGCAATTTCCACACCGTACTTGACTACTTTTACACTCTTTGATGGCTAACACATCAATCAGGCCGTTCAGATAAAAACTGGTAGGCAGATCTTTCGGATCGCCGCTTTCAGGCATTCGGCTAAGAGCCTGACACTGCGGACATCTAATTGTGTCCCGACCATGGCTTGTTCTGTACCACTGTTTCAAGCATTGCGCACAGAAACTGTGTAAACATTGGAGCTGTTTCGGATCCGTGAAAACATTAGTACACACTGAACAAGACACTTCCTCTCGAAGATTAAGAAATAACGTTTTGATATCCATTTCGTCTTCAAAAGCGAGTGCGCAAAATAGTGTTTTCGAGGAATCAGTCAACTTGAAAAGATGAAGCCTTGTGACTTCCTTTTTATAGCAATTCTTGGAATCATCGGTAACGATATACCTAATGAATTATTTTAAAAGCCTGTACGTCAATCAGAATTCTCAAGGGTGCACTATCCGTTCAAGAATGTGACCTTTGTATAGGCATCTTTGCCGTGAAAAGCTTCACCGATAGCAGTAACAATATATAACTGAGAATGTTCGGAAAGGGCCGGTTAAACTGAAGACGACAGGCGGCAGACCAGGCCCCGGTTTCTGAAAAGCCGTGTAAGTTTACTTGAGGTGATTGAATCTGTTTGATTCAACAATAAAATTCAGCTTTTGTTTAATTTCTGTTTCCTAAAGCATGATGAGTAAATCAAAGGGATAAACTGAGGGTTTAATTCTACGACTACAGTGGTCGATGAGCACACTGATCAGCGTTTAAGGCAATCAAAATTTGTCCAAATAAATAGCGGAATACTTTTTCTCCATAGCCTACAAATTCAAAGACGAGAACCTACATCTCCCAGATATCTTTGACCAAAATTGGGCGTCAGTTTGCTTACTATTTTCGTAACTCGAAACTCCCCGGTAGAATATGCAAACTGGATTACAGGTGTAAACGATCTTAATTTAAAATAAAGTCTAGCATGCTCATCTTATTTTTATAAATTTGACGTTCAGTGTCTATTTCGTTGATTGTAAAGTTTTTGCCCGTCAGAGAGGAAAATAATCTTGCTTTTCCAAATACAATGGATTGGAAGGGCGATTGAAAGTGAAACATCGCGTGGAGCTGCACTAAGACTAAAAACAAGCTAAAATACATTTGCATAGAAGATAAAGCCTGACCTGGTGGAGTTTTGTTTGACAATTTTGTCTTTTAACACGCTTTCAAATAGAGAATATCTCTTCCCCTTCTTTTGAACGTCACGCAACTACTACTGTTCGATAATAATGATCACAGTAGTGGGAATAGACAAGCTTAGTATATTTAACACCACAAGGACGGCACGCAGACTATTAATGTTCGATGATAATGATCATAGTGGTAGGAATAAACAAGCTTAATATATTTAACACCATGAGAGAACCACAAAAACGGTTGCCTGTACATAAAATCACTGTAGGGATGGCCAACTAAGACAAGCCTACTACATATAAACGAAAGTTGATCGTAAAGTACCTCTTTAATCGACTGTTTGACTTCTAAACCTACTGATATACTTGCTATCGAACGGAGAAAACTGATGTCGCGCTCAGATTTCCATAATACAAATTAAAATTATATCGCGACACGAAAATCTCATAGCTAAATGACCAGTCTTTCTGTAAACGCTTTGCGTTTTCTAGCGACAGACTGTGGTGATGTTGTTTGGTGTAGTGTTCATGATTGCAGTGTTCCTATTCCTTCGGCGCTAATGGTTTCCAATAAACTTTCATTTCCCACGAAAACCAAAGCAGGCAACCTGTCAGGATCATTGTCCGCTGCCTGTAACGGATCAGTCTCGTCTGAGAACATTGACTCCATAAACTGACTCAGTTGAACGACATCGATGTCTGTACCCCGCGACAAAAGTTTATCAGCTCTTTCCAATGAAGATTCCAGTAACGCTAGCTGGTTCTCCATCTCCTTCTTTTGCGCAATTATAGTTCCGTTCGCTTCGTTTTCCACCGATGCCAAAACATTTTGCGTCTTCGCTTCAATAGTTGCAATTAATTTATCCACAAACTTTTGGACATCTCTTTTCACGTTTTCGCCATGTTGTATCACTTGGGCGCATTCTTCATCAATTTTAGCAATAGTGTTCATATTTTCTCGTAAACTGCATTTCTGTGCTTTAATCAGTGATTCGATTTCAATCTTTCGCCTTTCAGCTTCTTCATCTATATGCACCATGGCGTGACCTACATGATCCATCAAAACACAAGTTTGGCAAAGTGCCGCCTCGCAAGTCTTGCAGAAATATTTTAGCTCTTCTTTCTCATGCCACTCCTTTTGACAGAAAGAGGGTCGTTTTAACACATCCTCAAAGTCCTTGTCTTGGAAATCTTTGAGCGCCAGAACGCGATGATCTTCGTTGCCTCGAAGCTTGTTGTGTCCAGTGAAGCACTCTTGGCAATAAAATATGCGACAGTGGAAACAATAAAAACTCTCAGAGCTTTCCTTGTCGCAATTTCCACACCGTACTTGGCTGGTTTTTTGCTCTTTAATGGCTAACACATCAATCAAACCGTTCAGATAGTAACTGGTCGGTAGATCTTTCAAATCGCCACTGTCAGGCACTGTGCAAAGGGCTTGGCAATCCGGACATTTGATAATGTCTCGATCATGGCTTGTTTCGTGTCGATGTTTCAAGCATTGCAGACAAAAAACATGGAGACAAGGGAGCTGTTTTGGGTCCGTGAAGATGCTTTTACAAAGTGGACAAGATACCTGAGCACGAAGATCGTTAAGAAACGTTTCAACGTCCATGTTATTTTCGAAGGCGAGAGAGAAGAAACCTTTCTTTGTAGTCACCGAGACAAAGACAATAACGTCTTTTCCGTCTGTGTTTTGTTAGCTATTCTTGGAATCGACTGTTTGTTATGCTAATCATTCGCTCCCTCTGTTTTGGAGAGTGTTAATGATTAACACTGTCTAAAATTGTTTTGTTTCGGGCACTAATCCGCGGTCCCCAATGGTCGACGGTCGATGGCTACAGATAACTGGCAGAAGAACAAGCTTTTGCCAGGTTTTTGAGCAGTAAGGCGACTATGGCCGCGCAAGGCATGTGACAGTCTTAATGGAAAAGTAGTTTTGATAGTTAAAAATGAACATTTTCCGCTTTTGACGATGGACAGTTTAGGGCGTTTGACGATAGACTCACTGAAGATTTTGTAGTGTTTTCTTAATAAATTATTTGATCCTGGAGGTCGTTTTAGTCGTTCATTGATGATTAGAAGTAAGATTTGGTAAAGTTCTCTAACACCTTAGAAGTCGGTTATGGATTGCTCCAAGTAGTTGTCAAATTTTGTTTTAAGCTGTTTACTAATTAGATTTTCCAGGACTTTGTCCAAGGCAGAAAGGACTGTAATTGGCCTGTACTTCGCTCTTTCTAGCGGATCGTCTTTCTTAAAGACGGGTGACCATACTCCTTTCTACCATTCACACGGTCGTTTTCCTCTAACGATGCACGAGTTGTAAAGGTTTGTCAGCGACGCAGCTAATTCACGTGCCCCAAGTTTAAGTATCTTAGCTAGGATACTCATGCCCTGTGACCTTGTTGGTCTTGAATGATTCGAGTGTGCATTGAACTTAAGTCTCATTAGTTAGTTCAAGAGCAATTGTTTGCTCTTTATGAAATTTTGCTCTAATCTGGGTGACATTTGGATGGTAACTCAGATCGGTTTCAGATAATCGTTTGGCCTTGTCGTCACCGATATCGTTAGCAAGGGTAGCAAAGTGAATGGCTAGGATCACTGTTCTGCTATAGTCGCTTGGTCTCTTACTCTGGTGCTGTTAACTTTTAAGTTGATTTCTGCATCTTTGCCGTTGCAGCTTTTTGAACCAAGAAAGAACATAAAGGTGCGGAAAAAGTCTCATGGCTTTGACTCCAAGTCGTTGGATTTCTTTGTCCAGTACTGCCTGATGGCAAGCCTCCGTTGTCTTTTTGCTTCATTGCGGCACTTTTTGTTAGTTTCCCAGTGTTCGGCACTTCTGTCCTTGTAGTAATTTTTGTACCAGTGGAAGCGACTGGAATCTCTCTTTTTATGGTTTTCCCTTGAGTCATGCAGTTTCGATTCGTTTTTGTTTTTTGATTAGTTTGTGTTGTATTTTCTCTTAGGAGGTGATGTTACTTGGTGAGAATGGACAGTGTGATTTTTGATATTTCTAACTTTGTGTTTTAGTACACGTGAGAGTATAACAAATAGATAGACATTTATAAGTAGATTTAAGATGTTGTGAGTGCGATTCTTATCTTAGAGCTCTTCGTTGCGTTACTTACTATTATGCACTTAATTCAGATGTATGGGCATTATTCGTCTTGGGAAAATTATTCGGTGGTCTTTTGGCGTCAAAAAACACTCTATAAAGAGTAATCGTCGCAGCAATACTTATTTCCCAGTTCTTGAAAGTGGTGCGTTAGGAAAAACTTGAAGCACTTGGGAAGGAGACTAGAGAAGGTGTTTTTTCTATAGTCAAATGACAGCGGTCGTCCATTCCTTCTTCATAACAGTTGTTACAACTTTCCCCTTGACAGCACCAGTCAGGAAATTAGCGAACAGGATCTATGGTGTCAAAATAATTTTATTGCGAATGAAAACTACAAAACAACCCTCAACGCTAATCACTGAAGCTAATTACGTCGAAATACTGATCTTCATGAACAGAGGTGACAATATTTATCATACGTTACAATAATGTCCCTTTCTATGAACCGATTGTAGAAAAGATAAAAAAAATTGTGGTTTTGGTTTTAGCGATAGAACAAATATTCCGAAATTTTCTGTTTTCTCAAATTCAAAAGTCTGCTACTTATTTACTCATAATATGCCTGTTTATTCCTCTCTAGCATCCCTCAGGAAAAAAATTTTGACAGTGATTGACTTTATAATACCATGCAAATGTTCTTTCGCCTATTTTTACTTTCCAAGCAAGGTCACTACAAGCAACTCCCTGATGCTGCATCAGCATGTTCTTCATCATTAATCTTTTTCCTGATGATCAATGCTTTATCTCGATATTGTTTTGCTTCATTTTAATTTCCGAGGTAACTGTAAACAACGCCCAGATTGTTGTAACTTGCAGCTAGATCTGCATGTTCTTCGCCATAATTTTTTTTCGTGATGAACAGTGCTTTCTCGTGGTAACTTTTGCTTCATTATACTTTCTGAGGTCACTGCAAACAACGCCCAAGTTGTTGTAACTTGCTGCTACATCAGGATGCTCCTCGTCGTAAATTTTTTTCCTGATATATAGTGCTTTCTCGTAATTTACTTTTGCTTCATTGTACTTTCGGAGGTCACTGTAGACGACGCCCAGGTTGTTGTAGCTTGTTGCTACATCAACATGTTCCTCGTCGTAAATATTTTTCTTGAGTGTTCAGGGCTTTTTCGCAGTTTTCTAATGCTTCAGTGCACTTTCCAATTTCACTGTAAAAAACACCTAAGTTATTGTAACTTTCCGCTACATCTGCATGTTCTTCGTCGTAAATCTTTTTCCTGATAAATAGCGCGTTCTCGTAGTATTCTCTTGCTTCATTGTACTTTCCGAAATCACTCTAAACAACGTCCAAGTTGTTGTAACTTGTTGCTACATCAGCATGTTCCTCGTCGTATATCTTTTTCCTGATGTTTAGGGCTTTCTCAAAGTACTCTTTTGCTTCATTGTACTTAGCGAGGCCACTGTAAACAACGCCCATGCTGTTGTAACTTGTTGCTACATCATGATATTCCTCGTTGGAAATCTTTTTCCTGATGAAAAGTGCTTTCTCGTAGTATTCTTTTGCTTCATTGTACCCTCCGAGGTCACTGTAAACAACTCCAAAGCTGTTATAACTTGTTGCTACATCAGCATGTTCCTATTCGTAAATCTTTTTCCTGATGTAAAGAGCCTTTTCGTAATAATCTTCTGCTTCCGGATAACATCCGAGGACTTGGAAAAGGTTGCCCATGTTCTGAAAAACTTGGGTTGTCTCATCGTTTTCCCTGAAACAATCCTTTTCAGCGATTTTGATTGCCTCTTCAAAGCATGCTTTCGCAGCACTGTAGTCTCCAGTTAAAAGATAAATCTTTCCCAGGCCATTATACGCCATTGTTAGCAGGGTATGTTCTCCTCCGTCAATTTTTATGAGGATTTCGATAGCTCTCTCATGATATGATATAGAAAGTTTATCGCGACATGACATTCCTAACACTCTGCCATGCACACAGAGGGCTTTTGCTTTTACTAAGCGACCATCTCTTGAGTTGTCACTCTTTTCAGCGGCCAGTTCGCAAGCTGATGAAGAAAACAGGTTAGCATCATACAGTCTAATTGGATCACAATAAACAGCAGCTGTTCTAGATAGCCCTAGAATTATTGTGTTCGGAGTAATAAAGGATTTCAACTCCTTTATAAGAGTCACTTTATTTGGAAATGCAGCCGTAAGAATGTCATATAAAACTCTACAGTGGGCAATAACTTTTTATAGCTTCTCACACACCTCACCACTTTGTAGCAAATGTTCACGTTGAGATTCCATCAAATTGTGAAAAACGCGTATTACTTCGCTTATGCACTCAAGTCTTTTGCAAAGATTAGGCATGGAAATTCTTTCGGGGATTTGATGCACAATGTTATGCACCCGTAGATACCTTGGTGTCCTGATTCCACTGTTCAAACAAATAACCAAGGAAGACTTCATAATTTTTGCCATGATTAATTCTTCTGTGTAGTCGGATGTTCGAGCTTTAATGAAATGAACGGCGACTTCCACAGGAACAGATTCTGAAGAAATTAACGAAAAAAGATCGAATGTCTGCAGGAGGACTTCGTCGGTTTTCGATGCATTGTCTAATGCCAACCTAATAGCATTGGTCATTGTCTTGGAATAAGCTGTGTTTTCCTTGGCGAGAGGTTCTTCCATACCTTCAAGGTTACCACAAGAAAGTGCTTCCTGATAATTCTTCCAGGAGTAGTTTGGCGAGCCATGATTCACAACTGTGTTTACGTAAAATGCAGCTGCTGCCAATGCGAGCGGCTGAAACTCAAGGACCTCAGCAATCTTCTCAGCTTTTTCCTGGCTTAAGATTTACAATACCTCTTTCAATAGCTCTAATGCATTGTTCCGCTGCATTCCGGAAGTTAAGGATTCATGGTAAGTAAGAGGGGCATTTGCAGATATTGAACTGCTGCCTTGAGTTGTAATCAGCACCTGACCGTGACCCCAGTCTTCACTACCTGACTAGGAAAGAGAGCTCCGAACCAAGGACAGCTCGACAACGTTATCACTGATTATCAGCCACTTAGAGAAACGAGTGGTCTTTGGCTTAATCAAACGCAAAAGACGCTGAATAGTTTCCCTGGCACTTTGCACTTTTGATATGTTGAGGTGATTCAGGGTGTACTCTGTAACTCCCAGTTGTTTAGCCAAGGTAAGGTACGAGTCAGCGAGAGTCTCGACGATTTCTGCATTTAGGCTCATAACAAAACTCAAACCTTTTTGTTCACCTGATGTCCCTGTAAAGAACTGTTTTCCAATTTGACGAGCAATTTTACTTTTTCCACATCCAGGCATGCCTGATAAATAAACAGTACTAACTGCTCTACCAGATCCATCTTCAAGCTCTCTCATTTTTGCCATGGTTCTTCTGACGCCATCTTTTCGTGGAATGATTTTGCGCGTAAAGGTGAGATGACAAAAAGGCTCGACTTTAGAATTGATTCCTTGTGTTAGACATTCCACTTGGTCTTCTTGAATTCGCATCTTTTTGCGAGCCCCTTCCAAATCAGTGCTAAGCGATAGGTTTTCATCATCAGCGTTTTGGAAATCAGGCTTTGCTTGTTGTAGTTCTGACTGGAAATTTGCAGCCTTTGCCTTCAAGTTGTTGATTTCTGCTGTAGGAAAACTTTTCTGATTTTTAACTGTTTCTATGTCAGAGATTGGAAGACTCAAGGAGCTGAGAGCATTTAAAACCCTTCCTACGTAATTCTTAAATTCAGTGTCATCAAATGTTGCCTCACTGATATGAGCAGTGTCATTTCTGAATCGACGAAGACCATCGATATCGTCTCTGATGGCTGTGCCAATCATTGAACCAATGGTATCCGAGTACAAAATGGAAAAAATTAAACAACTACAATCCCATTCTTCTGTTTTCCCCTTTTTTATTGTCGCCAGAAAACGAGCATTTTTCCTTTGACTCTTCTTGGACTCGTTGTTGTAGAAGTCCTGGCCATTTTGTGGCGTGTCTTTTCATTTTCCCAGGCTTGTCTTAAAACGGAAATCCCTTTCGGTTTTGAAGATTTTCCTTAGTCCCTTCGGAATTAAGTTGAAGGCGATGAGACATAGGCGGAAATAGTTTACGTGGTCTGATGTGTACTCCATCGTGAAATGTCCTGCAGTAAAATACAGCATAAACTGAATTACGATGCGATAAAATTTGAAGATACATAACTTAACCCGGAACAAGTCGCGCAATATCTGACTAATAAGTCATGCTTACCTTAGTCAATAGTGCGCATCACTTTTACAATTTATTTTCTCTTATTAGTTCGGAAATGATAAAAAATATTTGGAAATATAAACCATAGGTATGTCGCATGAGAGATTACTTAAACTGCAAACGCGGAAAATTTTTTTATACCATTGTGCAAGAAATTAAAAGAAAAAAATGAAACGAGTGTATATGAGCAAATGTTCGAGAAAGTCCACCAGCTGCAAGAACTTAATGAGAGGAATCTGATTTACAAGCTGATTTAGCTTTAGGTGTATCTTTTCCTCTTCGTGGTGAAAATTGGCTTTATTCGAGAGATGAAATTAAAAGCATTTTTTAAAGATAGGCCGGGTTAGGAAAGTTGCAAAGCAAGTATGAAGCTAAGGGCTTTGCCAAAGCCTTTTTTGTTTGCCTTGCGGTCAGGTTGCGTTCCAAGCATTTCTCAGAAGAGTTGATGGTAATTTTGTCTGTTGTTCAGAAATCCTCAGTGGATTGGGAGTTTAATTTGGAAAATAGGAAACGACCGACATACTTTAGACAGAACGCATAATTACAATAACCTTTGTACTTAAACATATAGTCAATAGACATGGCAATCTTAAAACTGAAAATGTTCCTTCCGGAGGCTTTAGTGGACAATATGAGAGTCCAGTCCAGTGAAAATATCTTAGGAAAGGTACCGTGAGGAAACTGGATTCTAATCGCCTCGTATAACCAAAATTAAACTGTTCTGTGCATGTTTAAATACTGACTTGTTGCTTAAAGTTTTTGACATTTCACTCAGGTAAGCTTCAGTTTTACACTCACATCAGTTGCACGAGAGAGAATTTAAGCTTGAATAATTGACACCGAGTCCTGTTTACTCAACATCTAGGGCTCACCTAACCTTCGACTAATTCAATGGATTATTCTCACGCTTTAATTAGCTTAAGGGTCATGGAGTATCTAGATCGACTCGTCATCCAGAAAGCTTCTTTAAAAGAGTATTTATTATGTTAAATGATTGGGTTCTAATGCCTTGTTGTTTCTTGTTTGTTTGTTCGTTATCTTCAAGGTTTCAACAACTTTCAATTCCAATGCTGAAAACAGCATAATCCAGAAAGATCTTTTGTATCATGTCATGGGAAAACACTAGTACTTGTTAGATATTTATTTATACACATCTTCCTTCTAAATTAATTTTTCCAAAATGCTACAAAAGGGGCAGTTATTTTCTACAGCTCTGTTTATTAAAAGTCGTAGCGTCTCAATTCACTTTATTTTATTGCAATATTTCAGAAGATGACCTAACATAGGCTTGTAAGATGGCAAATTATAAAATGATTTTAGGTATGGTATTAGACCTTTGCAATTAATTAACACCAGATTTCCTTAAATATTGGTATCCTTTAAAACTGATTCAATTTGGCTGGGGGCGGCTTCCGTATAACATCTATGTAACCTTGAAATGATGTGCATGTTGTAAAACTGTTAAATATTTTCAAGGCCTGACACTTGACTTTAGGCCCTGTCTTTGGTACATGTGATGCTCGATGCTCTGTGTCAGAGCAGGCAAGGTTCCTTATAACCCTAAAGATCATTGTAGATGCAGGATATTTGACAATTTTTTTGTTTTGGACCCAAAAATATTTTGTTGTGATTCATGATGATGTATGATGTTGATTCCTTGACCATTTTATGAGTTAATATTTGGTTAATATTTGTTATAATCAACAACCACTATATATGTTCTGGTACTTGATTAATTTTTTGCTTTTTGACACTTTGTAGAAAGAGTTTTTAGATTTCCTTCTTCAATCGTATAGCTGTATCTTCAACCTCAACCATTAGGTTCGGTTTAGGAAGATTAAAACATAGGCACCTGAAATTGGGTCCTTCCAATCAGACTGCTACAGACATACATACATACATACATAGGTATATAGGTTAATTGACCACTCCCCATAGGGGGCTTTTCAGGGCCAATTCCCACCCATCCCATCCAGGGGAGAACATCCACCACACAGTAATCTCGTGCGTGGGAAATTAACGTCTCCTACCCCTAACCCGGCAGGAGACGAGGCCTACGGTTTATTCGTCCTTATCCGAGAAGACTAGAATATCTATCCACTTCTTGATTTTAGAAAGGTAGCAAATGATGTTATGTAGGGTGTTTCCTGGAATGGGTCAAGCCTGTAGCTTGATATATTGTTTGAGTGGTTTGTTACAGGATTTCAAAGGAGTAGTAACGAAATGATGCACTGATTACTTAATAATGCCGGCGAAAACAAATTAATGCTCTTCTCTCTATTATGGCTGGAGTACTGAGTAGCTCTGACAGCATGTGGTTAAATGAATCAATTTAGGGTTCTGATGCACAACTTCTGTCACATGTGCACCCTCAAAATACCTCATCAATCCATTGGGGGTGGTTTGCATAGTCCAAGAGCAAACGTGCGTTAAAAAACAGACAACTTTCAGTTGAGTTTCAATACTATAAAATTCCCTATCGTTATTCTGTTACAGAGAAGATCAGTAAAAAGGCTGAAGGCGAGATGTCTCACAAGGCCAGTAAAGATGGTGATGGTAGAAAGACATTTAAATGTTTCCATTGTGACAAATGATTTAAAAGGGCAGCTAAACTTCGCGAACATATCAGAGTTCATTCGGATGAAAGGCCTAATAAAAGCAAGGTGTGTAACAAACCCTTAAGCCCAGCAAGAAACCCTTGCCGTCACAACCAAGTACATACGAGTGAAAAGCCTTTTAAGTGCGAGGTTTGCAGCAAGTTCTTTAGCCAAGCAGGAGCACTTGGAAGGCATCACAGGGTGCATACTGGAGAAAAGCCTTTTCAGTGCAAGAGTTGCAATAAGTGCTTTAGCCAAGCAGGAAACCTTCGTAAACATCACAGCCGGGTACATATTGGAGGAAAGCCTTTTAAGTGCAGGGTTTGCGGACAGTGCTTTAGCGAAGCGGCAGACCTTCGAAAACATGACAGGGTACATACTGGAGAAAAGCCTTTTAAGTGCAAGGTTTGCGACAAGTGCTTTAGCCAAGCAGTAAACCTACGTCAACATCACAGGGTACATACCGGAGAAAAGCCCTTTCAGTGCAAGATTTGCGACAAGTGCTTTAGCCAAGCAGTAAACCTACGTCAACATCACAGGGTACATACTGCAGAGAAGCCCTTTCAAGTGCAAGGTTTGCGACAAGTGCTTTAGCCAAGCAGGAAGCCTTCGCCATCATAACAAAGTACACTTGGGCGGAGAGTTCAGCTGCTGGATTTGTCAGGTGTTATATCGTACTGAGGGCGCCCTACATGAGCATTACGATGATCATATGAAACAAGCGCTTCGTACAATACGTTAAGTTAAGCAGAGAGCTACGTTTTAGAGACAAAGTTTGCTGTTGTTCTCCTTTTAAGTATAGCAGACCCTGAACTGTTATGTTTAACACTTTTATCAACTTTTCTTAAAAACTAGATTTTCTTATATAAGCTTTGTATCATGAAAACTTTGCTAATCACAGTAAGATTTATCATTTGTAGCTTTTCCTTTCAATTAGAGCACTAATTGGATAAAAAAATTCTGGCTCTTAGAGGATCTTGTTTTTTCTATTTCTATTTCTATTTCTATTTAATCTTTATTTAAACACGATCAATTCATCAGCCTATAAAAATACATATCACATACGCTAAGATATTCAAAATTAAAACTACATACTATAACACTAAAGCTGTTTTCCGTGAATGCCGTGCGTTAGACTTAAAGAAAGTCATTGATCTTACGTTTAAATAACC